ACGCGTCCGACCAACACGGTCGAGCCGGGCTCTTTATCATCAAGCTTGGCTCAAACACATAAAACTAAACACCATGTACTGAAATTTTAAAAAGCACGCTTGCGTTTCAGTTTCAGGTAGTTGCGTATCATGGTCTCGCGCATGTGAGCAGGGTCAGCGCAGCAGGTTGGGTAGAGGGGTAAGAGTATCTTTTTGCTCCCTCGAAGTTTTTGGAAGGCCTCTTTTCCCCAAACTAAAGCATTATAGCTAGCCCGAAGATCACCAGAATTTGAAGTACGGAGGCCGCCATAACTGAGCTCGAGAGTAATAAATTGGGCGCGGAAGACCCTGTTCATCCTGTCCAACATCAAGAAGCCCGTTTTCTGGATGGTGAGGCCACTTTTATAAATAAGGTAGCCCATTCTCCAGAGAAGGAGGCCTCATGTAATGTTAAGGAGGTCCTTTGCTGGCTTGGGAGGCACCCGTTACGAACTAGGGGGCCCCTGTTCTGGGTTATGTGGTACTCCCCATATTCAGGAGCCCCATTTCCTGAACATAAATTCCTTCATTAGGTTGTCCCAGTTCCGGATCAGGAAACCCTGTTTGGGATAACCAGGCCCCTTGGCTAAATTGTGAGGCCCCTTCGTAAGTTGAAAGTATCCTGTTCTGGACAAGCAGTCCCCTCTAAGCATTAGGAGGCTATTTGATATCATGCATGTGGCAATTTGATTCGGTAAGAAGAGGGCACATGCCCTCTTCTTAAGGCATGAAGGGTGCCCCGCCCCTTAAATACGACACTGCTCAGCAGGACCCCCTGTCAGGAGGCTCCACTTTTTCCGCGAGGCACCCCTGGAAAACCCTCCCCCCAACTGAAAAGAGCATGTAGAGTAAAAGAGCGTGTATCAAAAGAGGATATGAGCATGTAGAGATTAGAGAGCTCGATTTTCAGGGAAATCCCACTTCGAACCTGACTACTGGTCCCAAGTATTGACACAACAGCATTAACGTTATCACAGATATCAAGATATTGTTGAGACTGACCAACTCAAGATTTAATATCTATATATCTTACGATCTGTATTGTATATATATATATATATATATATATATATATATATATATATATACATATGTATATATATATATATATATATATATATATATGTATATATATGTATATATATATATATGTATATAATTATCTCTCTTAGTTTATGGCTATACTTTTCTTGATTCGGAAAGGCAGGGGCGCACTGGCTCCCTCCCTGCATCAGTCTGCAGTTAGAAAAGACTTAATGGTGTCGTTTTGCGAGGGCCGGTGGAATACGAAATATTTGGTGACGTCGGGATCCTGTGTCTGAAGTCACTATCTCACCCGTTCGCTGGTAGACCGGGATGGTGAGTCCGGAACCCCTACCTTACCCGGTCGCTGGTGGGCCGGGATGGTGTGTCCGGAACCCTTACCTTACCTTACCCGGTCACTGGTGGGCCGAGATGGTGTGTCCGGGGCCACCACCCCACCCGCTAGCTGGTTGCCCACTATTGGCTGCACGCCGACGGCAATCGTCTAATGTTTGCCACCCCCCTCCCCTCCCCCCTGCCCTTCCCTCCGGCCCATCAGAGCGGCTCTGGATCGGCGCGGGCAGGGGTGGGGGGGGGGGGGGCGTGTCACCGGATGCGGGCCGTACCATGCGCAGCCGACGCTGCCAGTTGCGGGAAATTGGATGGCCGAGACGGCTCGACCTAACAGACGGACGTCAGCGGTCGCTCCGATCAATGCGGCGAACGCACATGGGAAATTGATCGCAATCAGCGCCCTGTCTGACGCTGGGCCTGGCGAGCTTCCAATGCGTCAAAGAGTAAAAACCCGGCGCCGTCAGCTGCTGCTGATATCGCGTACCAGGTGCTGCTGCATAGTTCGGAGGAATTCCTGCCATATCATGCCAGCCGCGTAGACTTTCAGCACCTTTACATTAAAAGATGGATAGTGCAACTTTGATGCTGTTACGAAACAGCTGTACTTGAGCTTACGTAATGTGAAGGGCAAATGGTTCTGTAAACGGTCCGTGGTCTTGTCACAAGCTACGGGAACACGGGAAACAATTTCAGCCGTCGCTATTTTTCACACGGGTCCCGCGCTATCGCACTGCAGCGTTGTCACGTGAAGTACTGGTCTGCAGTCCGGAGCGACATTCACGCCAATGCAGTGGCGTGTCCTCTGTCACGTGAAGTACCGGTCTGCAGTCTGGGGCACCATTCGCGCCAACTGCAGCGGCATGTCACTTCAAGTGAGTCTCATTGGGGTTCCAAGGCCGCATAGATAATCTGTGAAACTGAAAGTGAAAGTATGCAACCTTTCCTGTGTGTGGACGTCACCACTTGCTTTTTGCCGTACCGAACCTATGTGGACCTGTGTTTCTCCAAAGCTTTAACAGCATTCGTCTACGATGACATTTTTTAGCGGCGCAGTGCCATTCTATTTCACTGTACCGATCCTAAGCCCTGTTTCCTCTTAGCTACCCGACGATTGCAGCTTGTGGGCGTCCCGCTTCTCACATTTTGCCAGTGGGGTTGGCGTGATTTTCCATGAAGTGGGTGGTGCCGCATTTGTGAACGCAAAGCATTCCCAGCATTCTCTCTCATTCTCTCTCTCTCATTCATCATTCTCTCTCAGCATTCTCAAGCATTCTCAAGCATTCTCTGAAAATCGTACCTGTTATGACTGAAGGCGCGTGGGATGCAATGGAAGCAATATTTCCTTCTCGATAACCGCATCTCGAGGGCCGTGTGGCGACTGCCTCCCCCCCCCCCCTAGCATCCCCTCGACCCCCCCCCCCTCCCCCCTCTGCCGCCCGCTCCGAGAACGGTCATCGCGTCTGGCCCGGCAGCGTGCGCTCCGTAGTAACTGCCCCCCCCCCCCGCCGCGCCCCGAGAACGGTCATCGCCTGTGGTCCAGCCCGCGGGCGCCGCTTGGTGACTGACCCCCCCCCCCCCCCACGCTCCGACAGCGCGCACGGTCGATCCGCCCCCACCCCGGCCAGGCGGTGCCGCGCCGACGCCACCCATGCCGACCCGACCTCGGAGAATGATAACGGCGCTCCGGGCCACGTGCCCATCGGCCTGCCCCGCTGTGTGCGCCACTCGTGGAGCGTTGGTACATTGGCGCAGAGGGTCGGCTCTTGATCTGAGAAGGCCACACGACACTGTGAAGCACGGTCTGCGCGGCGTAAACTGTGTAACTCAACACTTCACATACACCTGAGTCTGGACAGCACTGTTGCATATTTAAGTAGCTCTGTTAACATCGAATGTACATAGATATTTTACGTATCACAGCTTTTGTGGGTCATAAATATAGCGCAGCATCTTCGACTTTCGCGGCTTTTAACTCGGACCTTTATTCATAATTTGATGCCTTATCGATTTTCTCAGGGTACTGCAATGAACATGGCACATCACATATAACTTATATGAGTGGTTGACTAATGACCAAGTAAGCATGCCTAAATATACCACACAACAGTAAGGAAACCCCGTTTTACCAAATTAACATCACGCAAGGGGTTCCGTCACACGAGTGTGACACCAACCTTCTTTGCTTACGTGTGCACACATTTGTGCTCGCACCAAAGGGTCGGAGCGAACGTGCCTAGAATACTTAAACCTCACCACGAACTAAGAGTAGGGCAGCTAACGCATCTGGTTTCGTTACGGCTGCGTGGTTTTCTCAGCCGCGGCTTCGAATCGTGCGATGGAGGAACGCTCGGGTGATGATGGTCTCCCAGCGCCAGAGGAGAGTCCACAGGTGGTGCGCCCCGGGCACCATGCAGGATCTGAAGTAAATGATCTGCCGGTTACGGACTAACTGGATGTCTACATTATCTGCGCATTATTGCGGACTCTACAAACGCAAAATGAAATAAACGCATATTTTTAGAGATTGTTGAAGGTCGTTCCTACCGATGCACTTGTTAACACAAAATCAAGCTTATCTTAACTGTGATTTCAACCAGTAACATCTTGCCCAAACCTCTTCTGCGCCGTGTGTTCCTAGCATTTTTCCTGATCACAGTTCAGTGTCAGCCATCATGGCTGACATTTTCTTGCCATTATACACTAAACGTTGGGATGGCTTGCATTTCGCTGGGTTAGTTAAGCTTTCGATTAGCTTAGCACAGTCTAGATTGATGCTATAGTTGTCCACTCCTGGGTCAGTCTTGATATGTTCGACTGTTCGACGCGCCTGCATTGCTTTCTTAGCTTTCAGCACCTGGTTACTGGGCTAATTTTGAGTGTGTCGAAGTTGCCGAACATATGTAGAGGGCTTGTTACGCTTTGTTTAACCTGGTCGTTCCCTGTCTCGTGGTAGCAATGTGATGGTTTTTTTTTTTAAACAGGGGCTGAGTTTGTCACGACTTTTTTATCAGATTGTTGATTCAATACCTCCTTTTTCTATTTTTATGTTTTCTTATAGCTTTCCACCAGAAAACAGTGCTGCAAAGGCGTAAAAAAGAACGTGATCTACAAATCATAGTTTTGTGGGTCATTACGACCGTGGGAAAGACATTCTCAGGTATTTAGATAGAAGCGGATACTCGTTGATGAAGGCTTGAACGTCCAATAGCAGTGCTTCGTCCTATTTAATCATTACAGTAGTGTTGTCGCGCACACGAATTTCAGCAGCCAAGATTACGTGCATAAGAAACGTGCTAGCGCTGATTTTTCGCCTTAAGCCGCAATGACCCATTTGCTGCAGCAGCGCGTTGGCATGCCGTTCGTCCCTGTGCCTGTCACCATGTTCGTCTGGCGCCGTGGCCTGACCTGTTGACGTGGCTTGACCTGCTGTCGGCGAAGGCCGGTGTGCGATCGGCGGCCGCCGCTGCCGCCATCACCCGCCAAGCGTGCGTCTAACAAGTGCCAATTTGGCCGTGCTTCAGGTGTGTCGGCGTGCGGGGGGCGGCGCCGCGCAGCTGGGGGCGCGTCGTTAGCCGGCGCGCAAGTGTTGCCGGCCGGCGACGGCCCATGCTGGCCGCGCCCACCAGACGCCCGTCGGCCGGTCGGCTGTATGTGTGAGCGCGGCCCGTACAGATGACGGCTCCGCTCTCTGCCGCCGCCATGGCCCGGCTGCCGCTGCTGCTGCTGCTGGCGCTGGCCGCCGCCGGGCGCGCCCAGGCCGCCGCCCCATCCAACGACACAAAGGACAAGCAGCGCTGCACCGACGGTCTGATCCTGTCCGTCTGGGAGCCGCAGGACAACCTCAGCGGCGGCGACGTGTTCGCGCGTGCGCTCGTTTACTTCCTCACGCTCATCTACCTCTTCATCGGCGTGTCCATCGTAGCCGATCGATTCATGGCCTCCATCGAAGTCATCACGTCCAAAGAGAAGGAGGTCACCGTCAAGAAGCCCAATGGCGAGACGCAGATTGTGGTCGTGCGTGTCTGGAACGAGACGGTGGCCAACCTAACGCTGATGGCGCTGGGCTCTTCCGCGCCAGAGATCCTGCTCTCCATCATTGAGATCTACGCCAAGGATTTTGATTCGGGCGACCTGGGTCCGGGCACGATCGTTGGCAGTGCCGCCTTCAACCTGTTCGTCATCATCTCCATCTGTGTGTACGTGATCCCGGACGGCGAGGTACGCAAAATCAAGCACTTGCGCGTGTTCTTCGTGACCGCCACCTGGTCGATCTTTGCGTACGTCTGGATGTACCTGATCCTCGCCGTCATCAGTGAGGGCGTGGTGGAGATTTGGGAGGCGTTACTGACTCTTCTCTTCTTCCCCGCCACCGTGGCAACGGCCTACATCGCGGACCGGCGCATGCTCTTTTACAAGTACATGTCCAAGGAGTATCGCGTCAACAAGCGTGGCATTATCGTCGAGCACGAAGGCCTGGAGATGGACAAGGCGAACCACACCATTGGCGGCGAGTTGCAGCAGCTCGAGGAGGAGCACGTGGACGAGGCGGTGCGCGAATTCGAGGAAAACCGGCGCGAGTACATCAGCATCCTGCGTCTGCTGCGCAAGAAACACCCCAACATGGACATGGAGCAGCTGGAGCTGATGGCGCGCGAGGAAGTGCTCAACAAGGGGCCCAAGTCGCGCGCCTTTTACCGCATCCAGGCCACGCGTAAGCTGACGGGCGGCGGCAACTTGATGAAGAAGGCGCTGCACGCCGAGAAGAAAGAGGAGGTGGCGGAGATGGACGAGGTGAAGGCCGAGGACGGTCATGTGATCAAAGTGTTCTTCGACCCGGGCCACTACACGGTGATGGAGAGCGTCGGCGACTTCGAGGTGATTGTGAAGCGGGAAGGCGGAGACCCGAACCAGTGCGTGTTGGTCGACTACCGCACCGAGGATGGCTCGGCCAGTGCCGGCAGCGACTACATCGCCGTCGCCGGCACGCTCTTCTTCGGAGCCGGCGAAACGACCAAGACGTTCAGCGTGGCGGTCATCGACGATGACCTGTTCGAGGAGGATGAGCACTTCTACGTCAAGCTGAGCAACCTGCGTCTCGCCGACCCGGACGGCACGGTCACATCTCACTCGAACGGCAGCGCCGGCCGCCGCCTCTCGGCGCCCGAGATCAAGCTCGCGGCACCCTTCGTCGCCACCGTCATGATCCTCGACGACGACCACGGCGGCATCTTCAACGTCGCCGAAAAGGACATCGAGATTGTGGAGTCGGTGGGCACTTACGGGCTGAAGGTGTGCCGCTGGTCGGGCGCTCGCGGCCGGGTCGCCGTACCCTACACGACCATCGAGGGCACGGCCAAGCCCAACAAGGATTACGAGCACACCGAGGGCGAGGTCATCTTCGAGAACAACGAGACCGAGTGAGTAGAGCTGCCGGCCACCTGTCGCGATATGTCCCTCGACCCTCTTCCGCTGCAGGGGGTACTAGTCGAGCACACTTCCACCGCGAATAACGTAATCCTTCGACATTTTTGACCTGATTGTCCTTTACGTCTGGTTTTAATCCGTCGCTGTCGTCCTTTCAATAAGCGGTGTGACTTGCCTCATCCCGGCTTGCCACTGTCTTTCTTTACTGCGCACTGTTCACTGTTGGCCGACTGGGCCAAACTCGGCATCCCTGCGAGGCCCGGCTTCGCTGACCCACTGCCGGGTCCCTTTGGCGGCCGGCGAGCGGCTGCGGCCCGGCCCGCTGCCGGCCACAGGAAGCGCTCCATTTCCGGCGCCGCCGGAGATAAGTCGGCAGACGGACGTGGAACAACCTCCCATCGCCATTTGCGGCATAATGCAGCACACAGACAGCGGGGAACGGCACCCGCTGCGTATCGCCCGAATGGGCGTGCGAGCGCCGTCCAGGGGCGTAATTAATGGCACGTGGGAGTTTCTCACGTCGGCGTACCGGGGCGGCTGGGGCGTTCAGGCAACGAACGGGCTTATTAGCTCATGGCTGCGAGCGTGGTAACGACCTGTCGAAAAAAGTCAGCGGTCGAATTCATCAGACGCCGTTTTTAGATTGTACGCGTGTCTGCTTACTAGGGCAATGTCAGGGGGGCATATCATCATCGTAATAATGAGACGTACATGGACCCGTGTCGATGCTTCGGCAGCACCAATCACGAACACAGCGGGCCATAAAATGACAACAGAAAGACCAGTGCTGAAACTTATTTCCGTCCTTCAGAGAAGAGTCGAGTTCCCGGAAGTTCTAACAAGACCGCATGTCGCAGTCTTTGTAGCCCTAAGCTGAAATTCCTCACTCAGGCTCACTGTCTTCCCTTCAGCGAAGCCTCGTGTGCTTGCGTGGTCGCAAGTCTATATGGCTTCGTACGCTATCTGACAGTTTCAGCACTGGCAAATGGTTCAGCTCCTTCTAATCTTTGCTGTTTTCGTCCACAGGCAGTTCATCACCATACCAATCATCGAGGAGGACAGCTATGAGAAGGATGTGCTATTCTATGTTGAGTTGCAGGAGCCTCGCTACCTGTCAGGTCAGAGCACACTTACCTAGCTTTTCTGGATTATGCTATACAAACTGGTGTACGGTGTGTTGTGAAAATCAGTGAAAATTGAACAGGCCATGACGTTCTTACGGAACGGCCTAAGATTTATAGTACAGATATTGCGTTGTTTATCAAGGATGATGGTCTGGGCTTAGAAGGCAGGGTTTTTCGTTTGGTTATCGGCCGAGCGATTATCTCGGAGAGGGATTGTTTATCATGACGTTGCCTGCTCGATGCACAACACCCCTCACAGTCCCCAAACAGCAGAATGATAGGCTGGTAGCGTTGCACACCCACGCCTCGCAGGAACACAGCCGATGCTGAGTATTACTGTCAGCCAGCATCGACGCCCATCGGTCTGAAATTGAAGCCGACTCAAAGTTGATTTAGTGGTCGGCGTTAATCAGGCTGAGCGCCGATGAGAGCGGTCGCTGCCAGCTGCCCACTGGCATGGCCGCTTTGGGCTATTTAGCAGCGCCTCAACCACCCTTCGACAAGGCCGCTTTGGCTCCCTCACCAGCGCCCCCAACCGCCCTCCGGCACGGCCGCTCTGAGCCGCTCAGTAGCGCCCCGAGTGATCTCCGCCATGACTGCTCTGGGTCATTTACCAGCGCCCCAACTGCCCTCCAGCACGTCTGCTCTGGGCCGTTTAGTAGCGCCCAAACAGCCCCCTGGCACGGCCGTACTGGGCCGTTCAGTAGCGCCCCAAATGCCTTCTGGCACGGCCGCTCTGAGTCGTTCAGTAGCGCCCCAACTGCTTAAAATCGCAACCGACACCCTCGGACAGAACGCTCGTCCCTCGAGTCCTCCAAGCACGGCCCGCACCCCACTAGCTGATTTGCAGCTATCGGGTGGAGTCCGCCGAGCCAGGCAGGATTTGTGTAAACAGGACCGGCCGAGGCTGGCGTAACAAGCCCAGCTCGAGGCAAACACACTGTGTTACTCTCGGTCAGGTTGACAGTGACTCACTGATTGCCAAACAAAACCCCGTGCTGCCTGCGAGTCGGGACGGAGTAATAGAAGACTAGATAGTGCATGTAATAGTGACAAGCGATGGGCAGAGGTACTTTTGGTATAACTGGTATAGCCTGTCGGTCCTCCCGAAAGAGTCAACGCTGCTTCAAACTGGTTCAACTGATGCGGTGAACTTACAGCGAACATAAAGTTGCAGTAGAAATGGACTCCCGTTTTGTATATTGTATGACATGCACACTCATGAGCTTTATGTTGCCAATCTTCCCAACATAGTGGATCTAATCGTTCACGGTATGTTTGAAATTTACCTTGTTTGACATAAGTGTGGTTCATGTACGTAGCATCCATGCAGCCTGCTTTACATTTCTGTGTCTCAGTGTTCCCATCTTCCTCACCTAAGGTCCGGACTTATCACACTTGAGTGCGATTCTCGTGCCCGCGTGGCGTGGAATGCACATTTTGCCGTACGTCTCCTTGCGCTTTCACTACTTCTGCCGCAAAGAAAGGCCGCGGAAATGCCCTGAACATTTCTTCACTTCACTGTCATTGAGTCTATCAGTCCATTTCTTGAAACAGTCTATTGATTTGGTGCCAGCGCTTCGGCTTGTTTTTAACCATTGTTATTGAGCCTGTGTCCCGGCGATGGAAGGCAGATCTGACGTACACAACAGCTCTTTATACAGCGGCTCTGTTTACGACCAGACGGCTGATTCAGCAGCATTTTGTGGCTCTCGGACCCGTGCGTTCTATCCACGCTCACATGTACATACCAGCTGTCAATAGAAGCTTCCAGTATGGTCAATGCATGTGTATTGTGTAAGGGAAGATGTTCACTATTTTGTTTCAGACATGTTTGTTGGGAGGCTCGAACTGTTTGAAGTTGCGCTTTGTTTGTAGTTCAGCTGTAACAGCCATTTTCCATTCACACTGAGTGCTCTTTTTGCTCTGGCGTTTGTTGTTTTGATGTCTAATTTTCGTGTGTGTTCTCTTGCTCTGCTGTTGTCGCCGGCTCCTTGTCGTGCCATGGAACAACACTATTCTGTCTCCGTGTAAGTGGATGATTTTCCAACGAGCTGGTAGAGCTGCCTCCCTACACTTATATCTAACAGCATTTCCAATGACCCTTCATGGCTGACATTGCCTGCTTGCGTATGCCTGTGTGCCCAATGTGTGTACTAGGGCGGGCACAAACTCACGTGCTCGAGGTATACACTACTGTCTTATCTCTCACATTCATGTTGCTAGATACTACGGTGTGCTTTAAGCAGCTAACATAAACAACACAGCGCTTGCATGATGAACAATCACGCCGCCAAAACTCGGCGCTTCTTAAACTCCACAAAACATGTGCATACACCACGCATTAAGCTATACCGGCTCACCATAACCGCACACACACATACACATACACGCACACACATATACACACACACACACACACACACACACACACACACACACACACACACACACACACACACACACACACACACACACACACACACACACACATATATATATATATATATATATATATATATATATATATATATATATATATATATCTATATATATACATACGTACATACAGAAACATGCACACCTACGCGTGCAAGAACTCACGTCGCGCATGCTGTTGCCGGGCGGCGCTGGGTGCGCAGGCACCAGTGTCGGCCGCGTGTTGCCGCTTTCAACGCCGCCAGAGGCAGGTGTCCAGCCGGGACACGGCCGGTCCCAGACAGCATGCGACGTGTGCTGGCAGTGCTGTGCCCCTCCCCCGGCCTCAGCTGCGCGCCTGCTGCATGCTGCCCGCCCGCCGAGCCAGCCCCGCACGGCCAGGGGCCGGTCCGGCGCCGGTACGTGCAGGGTTTGCACGTGCCGGCGGCCAGCGCGTGCACGTGTACGGCCCTGCCGGGCGTGCTGGCACGAGTGTTGAGATTGCACGTAACAGCCTTCAGCTGTGCGTGAGTTCGTCAGCTAACACCGCAAAACGGATGTCGTATGCGCGATCGTGTTGTGAAAGTGCAGGGGTCTGGGGTATGTGGCGGTGCTGGTGGTGGTCATGGCAGCGTGTGTTTGTGTGTGTGTGTGTGTGTGTGTGCACGTGTGTGTGTGTGTGTGTGTGTGTGTGTGTGTGTGTGTGTGTGTGTGTGTGTGTGTGTGTGTGTGTGTGTGTGCACGTGTGTGTGTGTGGGGGGGGCGTTTGTGTGTGCGTCTGCGTGTGTGTACCGTGAAGAGCATAATGGCGATTCCCCCTCTGACGCCCCGCTTCTACCGCTATGACTCAGCTGGTCATCCCTCACCTAACTTGTCTACCCGTCACCAGCGCCACGGTCCGTCACCATCCGGCGTCATTTGCCAAATTTCCTGCTGTCAGGCACGGCGGTTATCGTCCGGCACCATCCGTGCTACGCCCATTCCGTCAATTTCTCTGGTTATTGTGAGAAGTCCTTCCGTACCGCATCCTGGAGATGTACTGCGTCTGGTGTTCTTGTCTTCGTTTTCCTGGTAGCCACAGTGCACCACCATTTGATGGGCAACTGAATTTGCACTTATAGCGGGCTGTGGTGGCTGTTAATGATCTCGTTATGCATAAGGTCGATGGGGTATTGCGGTGCTGAATGATGGAATGATGTGTGGAATAAGAGCTTAGGCACCCTTGCCTCATATGTCCATTTTTCAACGAACGGCCAGTGTTATGTCGTCCTTCGGCAGGTGAATTATGTCAGCTTGAGCCGCATGACCTTCCGCCTGTTTCGCCTGCCATCGTTCCGTTCCGCCTGCTGACCTTTGTAAGGCGGCACGAAAGTGGGGGTGGGTTGGTCAGGCGGTCCGGTGGCGGACTTAGTGCTCCCGGTCATGCAGCCTGTAGCCATGACGGACTGCCCACGGACCGTTGAGTTGTGCGCGGGGTGTCTCGGGTGGCCTTCAAGTCGTTCCTCCCACCTCACTTACTGTCGGCGGGAGGGAGGTCCGGCTAGTGACCACCGCCGTAACCGTTTGTGCACGTGACAGCGTGACAGATGAGCAGCGTCAGCACGGCCTCGCGGTCACCAGTTGAAATCAGTCAGGGCTGGAATATGAGCTCGCACAGAAGGCCATGACCCGACACCCTCTCCACCGCTGCGTTTGCCAGAATGCAGCGCTTCCCTGTATTAAGTCATAAGCAGAGTCAGACGGGCACGCGAAGAGCAAGTTTGTGCTGAATAAATGTACCTAATTAAAGCCCCCAGTGATCACAACCAGTGCAAGCGTTGGGGAACGCTGGCTGACCGGTCACGCGCCGTAAAACCATCCGGGAGGGGGGGGGGGGGCGCTAAAATTCAGGGAGCGCCAATCACCATCCAGAGCCGACTAGGGTCGCGACGGGAGACTCTGGGAGTGACGCTCTCCAATCATAGCCTCCGGGACCGCGCGGGAAGACTCTGGGAGCGACACTTGCCGCTCATAGCCGTCAGGGGCCGTGTAGGAAGACTCTGGGAGCGTCACTTGCCTCTCGCATCCTCCGCATTGGGCTGCCCGAGCAGGGAATCTGGCTCGGTGTCAGACCCATTCTTGGCAGCCAATTCAGAAACGCTTTAGAAATTCCGGGAAGAATCTCTGGCCATCTGATAAGAAAACTAATGCCGCTCTGTCATTGGGCGATGCCGAAGCTTTGGCTGGCAAGTGCTTGATTTTAAAGATTATTCAAACCCTTAAACTTTTACTTTCTGTGCCAGCAAAGTCATGGCGACTCTAATTTTTTATATTTTTCGGTGTTATATCTTCATGCGAAGACGGCTGCCTCAAGTACATAATATTTGCTACACAGTTCAGGATAGTCTGGCTGTCGAAGACTGGCACACCGTGACCGTCTGTCCTCGTGCGTTCGTGCGGGTGGGCTTGCCGTTGCTCGCGCAGAAATGAACGTAGGTAAGGTCACATTCGTTCGGGCGTGGTGAAGTGTGGACGGGAAAGGTAGTGCGCTGCATCAAGTAGAATCTCCTTCGTCCATGCACAATGTTTTTGAGATACTAAGCCGACTTCAGCCGACCGCGACGACTTCAGCACATTTGACATTAGGGCTCCCGAGTCATCTCAGATTGTCTGCGTGCAATGCTTAGGTGCTGGGCCCTGGAGGGATGACGGTTTTGCGAGGAAAGTGGCTGCCGTCTGCAAGCTAAGAAAACCTTAATACTCCATGCCATGACGCCATCAATTTCGTATTGGTCTGTGCCATTTGCGAACGCATCCTTCATGTCCATGCCGGAGAGTTGGTGCGTCCGTGCTCGTGAGTCAGTGTTGTATATGACCGCTTTTGTGGTGCCGACGCCGACTTGTCCGTCCTCGCCTGCGCGGCGGTAGGTCGGGACCAGCTCGACTCAGGGTGTCAGGCGGGCGGGATCGACTGAGTGTGCTGCTCGACTCAGAGTGTCGGGTGGGTGGGATCGACTGAGTGTGCTGCTCGACTCAGGGTGTCAGGCGGGCGGAATCGGCTGAGTGTGCTGCTCGACTCAGAGTGTCGGGTGGGTGGGATCGACTGAGTGTGCTGCTCGACTCAGGGTGTCAGGCGGGCGGAATCGGCTGAGTGTGCTGCTCGACTCAGGGTGTCAGGCGGGCGGAATCGGCTGAGTGTGCTGCTCGACTCAGAGCGTCGGGTGGGTGGGATCGGCTGACAGTTTCCGCTGCTCGGCAGTCAACGGCGACTCAGGCGCCACGCTAGACTTCCAAGATAAAAACCTCAACGACCTTTCGGAGGAGGAAAAGATTGCTCTTCTAGGAAAGCCCAAGCTCGGTGACTCCACTCGAGCACAAATTAGAATAAAGGAGAGCAAAGAGTTCAAGGTGGGTACGAACAAGCGCGGCGGCCAGGCTGCTCAATCAGAGGTAGCTGGACACTCCTCCTCGATTGTTCTTGTCAACATGGGCGTGCCTGGTCATTTTGGTTGTGCAAGTTATCTTTTGGTCTAAGTGCGACTGCAACAACTAACAAACTCAGTAATTTAACTTCCGTTGAGTTGTTGATATTATTAATGGTGTATAACAGACTAATAGCTGTTAATTTTGATCACATGCCGGTAAAGATCATCAGACTCGGCGGTTTATTCATGACTCCTGTGATTAATTATATCCACTGTGCTGAGCAATGCTCTTCAGGCGTGCTGCAGCCTCATCAGCAGCAATGCGTCCATTTCAGCGAACCGCGACGGTGCATTGTGCCTTGTGGCAGGAGAACTCTGATTTCCCGCAGCTGCGTGATGTTCTGCGTTGCGTTGTTTGACCTTGATTGTGTGCAGCGCCAGGCGTCATCGCTGGCATCTACCTCGATTCGTGCAGCTCACAGAGGCCACCCTTTGTCTACAGAACACTGTCGACAAATTGGTACAGCGTGCCAACGCTTCGTTTGTGGTCGGCACGTCATCTTGGAAGGAGCAGTTCATTGAGGCCATCACTGTGTCGGCAGGTTGGTTGGTCTTTTGTTTTGTTGGCTGGGCTGTTGGATGGCCAGTATTATTAAGGGGAATGTTGCACGGTTGAAGATAATGAAGCAATCTTGCAAACTTGTCCTTGTAACTTTGCCATTAAGCTTGTAATGTTATTGAAGATGAATGAAGCTCACTTGTAGCCATACCACAGGTAACCATTTGTAACCAGGTAGCGTATGTAATCAAACATAACAATGGGTATGCTTTTAAGTGCAAAAACTGGCTTAGCAGCAAATTTTCATTTGGATTGTAAATGCTTTTCTTGATGCGTTATCCCTTAAATGCGTCATGGAACATTAATATGACGTCGGAGTGGCAGTCAAACTGACCGTGCAGAATTGCCACCGTAGCGGACGACTGACTCACTTGCAGCACCTCGACTTGTCGGAAGGTGTCGTGCTAATCGGTGCGTTGTTTGTATAACACAAATATTCCTGTATGATATAGCACAAAACGTGATGCAACATACGCCCTACTATCCTCTTTCTCACTTAATCCGGCATCTTTGCGACGTCCGCCTTGTCTGAGGTAGGCTGCAGGCACCAGCCACAAGTGAGCCGAAGGCTCCCTCCATACTAGGGACCGCCGCCTGAGCGCCAAGCGCACACTCCGCGGGGGGAGGGGGGTGTCATGGTGCGTGCTTAGTCTCGACGGCTAGGTTCCCAGGTGCATGTTGCTCTGCCCCACCGTTATTCGTTATCCTTCATAGCATAGCCCTGAAATGGCCATTACTGGCCGAAAAGGCTGTAATCCAAATAATCAACTTGTGTTCGAAGGTTGTACTGGACCCATTACACTGGTTGAGGGCCAACTAAAGCCTGCTAATGCCAGAAATTATGTTGACGTAGCCCAGTCACGATTAATCCGATCATCATATTTGTCTTAGCTTAAGCTAAATGGCCAATCAGGTGGCAGAATTCGCGTGACGTTTCAGTGGCGTCATGCATACCTGGGTGATATGCATTCCGCACGAAATAGTCTGTAGCAGTTTGCGGGCGTCAAGCTAAAAAACTAGAGGGTTTTAAATCTTAAAAAGGCAAGGCTGTGAACTGTACTGAACTATCTTTAAAATGGCTATCTCATTTCAAATCCCCATACAAATGTGAAGCACTCCCTTTGGAATGTAGATTACATCCTCCGGCAGGAAAATCATAAGTCCAAGAGGTGAAATGTGATTCCCTCTTGCATTTCGATTAATTATTTTGACACCACGTGCCGCGCATTTAACACACTGTGAAATGTGAACGGTCATGATCTTGCTCAAAGTAGCATGCTAGTATAATTATTGTGCTATTCTCGATGAAATACAATACAATCTAGCATATTTTTAGACCGGTTAACGTGCTATATGTGCGTAACGAAGAACAACAGGAGTCGCCAAGGAAGCCGCGATGACCTTAGATACCACTCGCCTGAATTGAGGTACTAACCACGCCCAGGCGATGATGGTGACGAGGATGACGAGGAGAAGGAGGACGGCGAGGGCAGCGAGGATGAGAAGCTGCCCAGCTGCGGCGACTACCTGATGCACTTCATTACCGTCTTCTGGAAGCTGCTGTTTGCCTTCGTGCCGCCAACAGGTGCGTGCCTAACCGCCATCTGTGCTGTGATACGAGCGCGCCATATGTGGGGCACCGCTGCGTCGGACCGGCCGTGTGTCCACTCGATACCACCTGTGTTGGAGGATGCTTCAGATCTTTCTGACTGTGATATGCTGGCTTTTTACCAATGATGAGTTCAACGTCGATGAGTGCCTTGACCTTTCTAGAAGCGTATGTGGTGACCGTTAGGGGCCATTTTTATATGACCTTTGTCGGCATCATGTCTAGTGACCAGAAAACGAAACAAATGTGTTTTGTTTGATCATTTATATCATCCCAGGCGAGATCCAGAGCCAGTGTAAGCTCATTGACTTCCTCAAGAGCCTGTTTGCTACAAATCCAGTCCCCTGAAAATAGGCCAAAGCCTGGTGAAGCCAGATGGGAAGACTTCCATGTTTAATCTAATGCTTAACATATTTGAGAAAAATAGATATCTTGAGGATTGTCCATTTCTTTTACAACTGATAATGCTGCCAGTGATGAATATGAACGTAGGTCAGCTGACATAATTTTACCTGTCTTATCACGTGTGCCCAAAATACTTCATTGGTTCTCAAACTTTCCACTTGCGAAACCTATCCAAGATGCGGTGAAATAGCCTGAAAGATTCTGAAGCCGACATCTCAGGTTGTTTCGATCTTATTAGGATGCTGAAAGGCATCGTGCAGTGTCAGCACCAGAGGGCAATTAATAAGAATGATGATGAAAGTCGGCATCATAAGACAGAAATTGAGTACACAAGTTGACTTGGACAGAAAAGTTATAAACATGTGCCAATATTGATGGCTGGAGAGCAGAACAGCTCAAACTTGTTCACGCTTACTCACGAGCTGACCTTAGGTATTCAGGCCTTTTTTCCCTCGTCGTTGATGCCCTTAGTTTTATCGTCATTTAGCATCTTTGACCAGAGCATTAAAGGATTTCACGCGGCTAATAAACAAAAAGGCGAATGAAAGTAGTCAGCAGAAACAAGCACAGCAAAAACATTCGAAACGAATAAAAGCCGACAGAGATAGCAGGCAAATCGAATCAGAAAAAATCATAATGCAAAAAGTCAATGGGAATAGAAGTTGACACAGAAATATATTCGGAAAACATGAGTGAGATGAAAGTCAACGGTGGTAAAAGGTAGCAAAAACACTGCAGAAAGCAAACAATCCACAGGGATAAAACCCTAATCGGTAAAAGTTGCAAGGTATATGGATGCAGGTTAGATTGGAAAACGATTTAGGGGACAAAAACTCGGCATGGCTAAACGTGGGTTGGGATAGCAGTAAACAAGCAAGCAGCGAAGAGGATTTAAGACAGGAGGATCTTAACGATTTGACGCCTGTCATGAAAGGAACGCATGCCTGACCTGGCATGGCAAGTGATGACAGCGCTCAGCTGTTCCCGTGGATTCAATGGGTATCACTCTCCTTGGCGTGCCTTGGCTTAATCGACAGTCGCTCCTGGCAGGAAGCCAACCTTGAAGCCTTCACGACCAACTCATACGGAAGGCACCCTGAGGCTATCAGGTGGCCGTTTGGCAATGGATGCTCTGCTGGCCTATTTCTCTTCCGCTGGAAATTTCCTCTAGTTTTGTTGTGGGATGGTCGCGAGCAACAGAGGCTCCCACGGCGGGAGATGGCGCATGGTGACGACACCCCCCGCGAATGCCGGTTTTTCGTTAGCCCTGTTCCTGGACAGACACGTGCCTGGTTCCATAGATTATGTCCCGGCTCCCACTTTCTTTCTGAAGACGAGACCTTCGATCAATGGTTCCGGCTGGTTATTTCATAAAGCTCGAACTTGGGATCCTAGGTCCTGTTGGTTGTTTTGTAGACACGGCATCCTAGTTCCTGGTCATCACTATTTGTTTCGCGAACAACAATATGAATTCCTGGCTTCCATTGGTTGTTTTGCGGACACAAAAGACACAATGAGGGGGGGGGGGGGAATGACTGATGTAATGATCATCCTCCAAAAGCGTCCAACTGCACCTGTACTCTTTGGGTCAATTCGTGACCACGAGGTCAAGCATAATCGTTAGGGTCACGCAAGCTTTGCATTGCTGTAGGTGCAATGCAAATATTTGTGCTACGATCATCGGGTAAACACACTTCGAATATTCTGACATTTTCCCGTTGGGAACCGATTTCGTTGTATGCATTTGAAATTTAGCCAGTCAAGGTCAGACTTGCTTCTAAGCCATATATCACCTTTATCATATTTTGTTCACCCACGCCAACTTGATGACATGAAAGACATCTTACGCAATATGCCAAACTTTTTCAGATGACCGATTTTTTAAAAACATGTCAAAGACCTGTGCGATTTCAAACGAGAGCACAAAGCCTGATGCTATGTCGCAGCAATGATTATAACGTACATGTTACTCAATGCGGGATAGACCTGAACATGCACAATCAAGTTCTATGAGACGCACATTGCAGCTGTAATGATAATTTATGGGCGATGTCACGGCAGCTCAGATGTAGCAAGGGTATACTAATAACTCAACGTCGCTACCTTGCTTCGCATTTCAACGATTAGCACTACTCGTTTGCGAATACCCATGAGCAAAGCTGGTTGAAAAATGAAGGAGCAGCAATAACGCACCTTCACGCCAACCACGGCGCAAACAATGCGCGGCGGTGTTTACCTGCTTTACAATAATATTTCCGAGTGTTACAATGGCCCAAGACGTTCATTACAGTTGATATCACGACATTGAAAAGCTGGCGTTGATGCGGTAGCTCTGCAAATGGCTACTTTTTTAGACGTGACAATGATCTTCCAAAGATCAAGCAAGGTCATGACCTTGACTTGTGCCTTCAGTGTCCGCATGCGGCATGTTAGGTGCCCCGCCATCACCAGTAAATTGTGATTGCAGTTGCAATATGTGTCCAGCACAGCATGGGTCTGCTTGTTCAGCATTGTTCTCAGTGCGAAGCATCTACATTATGATGTATATTAAGACATATTGTAGAAATGTGTGACCTCATTTGACCTGACACAAGTCTTTCACGTGTTAGCAAATATTAGCCACTCTAAAAATTTGTGATATTGCGCCGATTTTCACTCATTGAATCATCGTAACGTGGGCGATCATCATAGGACCATGAATATTTGGCTTTATTAGCAAGTTTGACCTTGACCTGTTAGGGGTTAGCTGCATGCAATCCAAGCTATACCCAAATGAAATAGTTTCAAAACAATTCAAACTGCGTATCTCCGGCGAACGTGGCGCAAACATCCACGTTGTTTAGCAATTCAAAGCATACGCAGCCCGAGCAATTTACATTCAACTCAGAGGTTATACATTTTCCCAAAACGGAAACAAGAACAGCTGCGCAACTGAAATGGCGATCATTCGCTACATCAGTCGTTCTCTCGTCACCTCAACCTGTTGTGTGGCAGCTGCCGGTAGTGGGACCATCCACCACGCACACTAAGGAAATCTCCGGCAGTGGTGATAATTCCGCGAGCTGAGGGGTCCCTCCATGACCCAGACCCGAAGCTAAGAGGTCACTCAATGACCCAGACCCGAAGCTTAGAGGCCACGCAATGACCCAGACCCAGAGTTAAGAGGTCGCGCAATGACCCAAGACCAGAGCTGGCAGGTCACTAAATGTCTCAGACCCAGAGCTGAGAGGTCATCAGTGACACAGACCCAAAATCTGCACATTCCCAGACCGTAAGACAGCAAGGAAGACGCTAGTTTATATCGCACGATTTTTGGTTATGGACAGTTTAGGTAAGTGACTGGCGACGTAAAAGTTTACCCATTGACCTGCAACTAAGAAACAAGTATAGTTAGGTAGTTAAGGTAACGAGCGATACGCCTGTTTTTTTATCCCTATCCTTGGTGTGCCTTAGTTAAAAAAGTTGGTAGTGCGGGTGGGGCGGGGGAGGGGGGGGGGGTGGGCGCCAGGCCTGCGCTTCTTCGGGCGAGGGTGTAGAAATTGCACCGTTGAGCGAGAGTCATTATAGTCTAGTTCAGCTTAAACCACAACAGAGTAAAAGCTTCAATTCGAATCCTGATTCAAATTCTTACATTAGAGAAATATGCCAATCCGAACCGCGTCGGATCCGTAGGATTACCTTGGTTTATCAGATTCGGATTAACCCAGTCCGTATCGTACTCTGTGGTCACTGTTGGTGCAATGCTCTAGACTATCCTAGAGCGTTACGACTCCGTTGATGGGATTTTCGGGTGACGTTTCTCAGCGCTATCTTATCTGTACAGTTTGATGGAAGTGACGAAACCGATCAGCGTGTATTGATTGAGAACCGCTGTACATTGCAGTGTATGCTCATCGCTGGTTAGCCGTTCACCGTTCCATGCAATGTTTAATCTGTGATGTGTTTATACGCCAGGCGATTGTGTGTACCCCACCCACCTGAAGTTTTGCAGGGTCGCCTGAAGACCGCCAGATGACCCCGTCCCTCCAGCAGGTCGCCCAGTTCCTCTCGCTCCCTCCGCCTGCCAGGGCCGTCCATATCTTGATGATTCGTCCCTGCCAGCCTCGCTGCGCAGAACAGTGCGTCGGATTTCAGTGAATTGCAGGTGCCACGAATCTGTTTCTCCATTGCCTTTTTGCATTTCCCATTGCTGCCAATTTACAGAAACCAAAGCCTAAAATACCGTCAGATGGCAATTGTTTAGAGCAACTAAGTAACCCAAGTAAACCAAGTGTTCGGGCATTAAAAGCGCCTTCCTCGCGTGTGTGCGCTTACCACAAGTTGCATTGCGCTTTGAACTAATTCTTTGTAAAAAGTTGTAGGCTGCATGTGTATTTAAATTCAAATGGCCGGGAAAAAAGGCAGTGGAGTTGAATGCTGGTGGAACGCTTTAGCTCATGCGGTATAGGGTGCGCTTGGTGCGAAGCCTCCGTCGAGTTTTAATGAATCTTCGAAGTTTTCCTGTGGAAACTCATTCGTTTCTGCTTAAGGCACATCCACTGTTTTGTTGCTTTGATGCATAACTTCATAGCCTAAGTCGAATGTCCATTTGCTCGGCCCAACCCCAGAGTAGGGTCTCGAAGGTCTTGACGAAAGCTAGCTCCCGTTCCGTCAATAAATTAGCTCAGTTAGCGGCCTCCTGTGAGGCGCTCGGATAATAGGTCCGACCTCGCCTGAAGCCGTTCCGTCGGAAGACCTGGTCGATCCTGAGTCGATGCCGCTCAGTGCGAGTGAGCACGGCTGCTCGCCGGCGCCCGCGGGTGGGGCTCTTCTCCCGGCGCGTGACCGGTTTGTAAATGGCCGCCGAGAGAGCGAAGAGCTGACGACCTTGCAGACGGCCGAGGCGCAACGCTGCCTGTCGGACCGGGCAGGCACGCGAGGTGCTGCAGGCCTCGGATCTGCCCTGCAGCAGACACCGGGCAGGCGTACTTCTGCAGTCAACTATGTTTGATTTGCGGGGTAACGTCACATTTCGCTCGGCTCCCGTGGGCTGGTTTCGTTTGCGTGAGGCGAAATGGGCTGAGGCTGCCTGGGAAAACATCGTTTCGTGGCGCGGCGTGGCTCGCCGCGTTGATTTGCAGATTGCCCGCCAGGTTGTTTTCAGCACGACGCTGGAAGTGTGTGCGAAGGACGATCCATAAATTGGGTGTCGAGCAAAAATGTGCTGACTTCCACCATATGTGACTGTAGCGGTGTGTTCCCCAGTGTGCTGGCGCCATCGCTCCCCTCAGCAACCTGTCTCCTAATTGCGGAGGTTTTCTTGGCAGTGAAGGTGGCGCCGGCTGGCTCCCGACACGCTGACAAGACCAGACCGGATTCCAGCTACCAGACCCCAGTTTCCAGACCGAACCAGATGGACTGGATCGAACCCTGCTGACCAGACTGGGCTGGCCAAGCTGACCAGCTCAGGCCGCCGCTGACCCGCGCCCGTCATCACAGATTTTTACAGCGGCTACCCGTGCTTTGTTGTCTCGATCCTGGGTATCGGCCTGCTGACGGCCGTGATCGGCGACGCCGCCTCACACTTCGGCTGCACGATCCAGCTGCGCGACACGGTCACGGCCATCTCGATCGTGGCGCTGGGCACCAGCGTGCCAGGTACACCGGCCGCCCGAGACGGTCGCGTGCCACCGCCGACGGCCGTGGTTCAGCTCTGGATGCCGCCCGCAGCTCCCGCAGAAAAACCAGTCGATGCGCTTCGCTGTGCCTCCCTCTCGCTCTCTCTCTCTCTCTCTATCCCTCTTCGCCCTCTTCGCCCTCTTCTCTGCGCCTGCCGCTGGCGGCGCCCGGCTCGCGCCCTGACCCTGCGGTCGGCATAGCCTGGTGTGAAGCCTGCCAGTCGCCACCAGCGCCGCCTGGGCATGCGCGCGTGGTGCCGGCCGGCCGTGACCGCGGCCGGCCGACACTGACCTCTCCAACCCCGCAGACGTCTACTCGGGCTACCCCACCTTCGTGTTCGCCATTCTGGGCATCGCGTTGCTGACGGCGTTCATCGGCGACACCGCCTCCCAGTTCGGCTGCACCATAGGGCTGAGAGACACGATCACGGCCATCTCGTTTGTGGCGCTGGGCACCTCGGTGCCAGGTGGGTGGCGGGGCGGGCGCGGCGTCTGGAGCCACCAGATGGCATGCTCCGTCCGAGCCCTGCGCCGACTCGCAGCGCCTGGGGACGCGCCGGCCGACCGGCGCCGTGCGGCGGCTCCGGCTACCCACTAACGGACGGGCGATATTGGAAACATGGGCTCATCATGCTATCGTTATTGGTACAACGAGGGATGAGCGCGCTGATCCATAATGCTTGCGTTTGGTCCCACTGGGAGGTGTTTTGCTAGAGAGCGTTAGAAACGTTGTGTAGAAGTCGTCCAAAAACTAGAGCGTAAGCGTAGTTGCAGAACTAACACCTGCAGTAGCGGTGTAATTGGTCCAATGCCACTTACTAATGCTAACACGGTGCTGTCGAGGCGAGCACACCGACGGCCATCACCACTCGAGACTCACAGACGGCGGGGAACTGCACATGCAGGTCTACTCAAATACGTCCCCACCCTCTCCGTGTACCATCCGGCGGAAAGCTCGTGCCAGCGGCCTGTGGTGCGCTCCGCAGGGTCTCATAGCAGCCCTTGAACCTGGTGATCCATGAAAACCTCCAAGCTTGCAACACGGTGCCGACGTGCATCGGTGTCAGCACCAGATCTTGAACGGTGCTCCGTCGCCGCGGCACTAAAGCTGAAGCTCTGTAGGGCTACCGCGCTAACGCAATGGGTTCCCGCATCCCATAAGCCCTTTTCCTTTCGCTACCAGAGCAGCACTTATCCCACAACCTGCATTATATTTTAACCAAACCTTACTTGACCTCCTCGCCAGCAGTGGCGTGTGTCTTAACAGTAACACTTGGCTGCCTTTTCTCTTTGCAGCGTCTACTCATCCCTTGTTTGAATGCTGACGCTCCTCAGCCAATAGAACCATCGGCATCACCCTTGCGGCCGGCCAGCCTGTGACCCAGACCATCATAACATGCCCGTTCTGTCTAACATGATATGCTGACCGTTCCGCTATGCCATAATACTGTGTTTCCCCCTAACCGACGCCTTGTCCGTTCTGTGCTAACCCGCTGACATGCTCGTCCTGCCCTAACATGGTATGTAGTTACCATAACCGAGGGCAGCCGGGCAGCCGGGCAGCCGGGCAGTCCGCACAGGGCGCCCTGCCCTCAGGCGGCTGCCGGCGTGCTCGCTGCGCCCTTCCCTCGCGGCTCGCCGCCAGCTGCCGCCCTCGGCGCTGACCTGGCGACACCCCTGACCCTGCAGAGCTGCGCAGCGGCTACCCCTGCTTCATTGTGTCGATCGTGTTGATCGGCGTGCTGACGGCCGTGATCGGCGACGCCGCCTCTCACTTCGGCTGCACGATTCAGCTCAAGGACAGTGTCACGGCCATCTCCGTCGTGGCACTGGGCACCAGCGTGCCAGGTGACGGCTGTGGGAGCGCCGGCCGTCCCAGACAGCATGCCGGAGCACGTGCAGAGCATGGCACAGCACGTCCTCCGCCGTCACAGGGCGGAGCTCGCCAGCCGCGCCTTAACCGGTGCTCGAGCGCGGGGGGCTGAGATGTCAGCTGACTCCGGATATAAACCAATGCTGTTTTAGCTGAGCTGCGGGTCATCTGTCCGGGGCGACGTCCCTGCTGTAGTTCTGTCGCTCGCTGAGACCATCCGCGTCCTGTTGGCCCCATTCTTCCTCAGCCTAGTCAAGTTTGCTTGCTTAGCGTTGCACGCCCATCCGGTCTCGGCGCGCCTACTCCGCCCATGGTCGAGCACGAGGCCTGGCCGCCTCCACCCCCCCCCCTTCCCCCCACCCCCTACCCCCTCCCGGACCGCTGGATGCCACTTAATCTGTCTCTTAGCCTATGTCTGCCGGCTCTTCTGCCCCCTGGCCCCAATCTGCCAACTAACTTGCCCGCCATGGCATTCGTCTGCTAGCCAGCCGACCCCCTGAACCCTGGCTGCCGCCTGAATGACCGTTCACCCGACCTGCTAGCCGCCTGACTGATCGTCCGCCTGGCCTGCTAGCTGCCTGGCTTGCTAGCCGCCTGACGGGTCGTCCGCCTGGCCCGCTAGCCGCCTAACTGATCGTTTGCCTGGCCTGCTAGCTATCGCCTGATCCGCCGTGTACTCCCGCCGGCCGCAGACCGGCTGGGCGGCTGGCCCTGCTTCTTCTCCTCGGTGGTGATGGTCGGCGTGCTTACCGCCTTCATCGGCGACGTGTCCTCCCACTTCGGCTGCACCATCGGCCTGCTCGACTCGGTCACGGCCATCTCGATTGTGGCCTTCGGCACCTCTGTGCCAGGTACCGTGCTGCAGGGTCCCTCCGGATCGCACCGCCCCCTGAGGTGTCATCAGGCCGCGTCAGGTCCTGTCCTGCATCCTTCAGCTCGTCTCCGCAGCAGGGGCAGACACGGATGACGAGAGCATTGGCTGGTGATACACGCCTTAGTTTGGTGCCGCAGGCCGATGTCAGGCCGATGTCAAGGCTCGCCTCCCTTGGTGGTATGCTTTACGATTGATAGGCACATTGCACCCAATTTACGGTGATGTTCGTCGCAGATTAAGAGATGGCGAGGACGAAAACGATTTACAGACTCGTGGTGTGATCCTCATGGCTCATTGATCAATACACACGAGTGAAATTAGGAGGTTATTGAATGCACAATGATTTACACCACTCCATCCTGATCGCTGAGATGTGAGAGATCATCAACCACGAGCACTGGACCAATTCTGTTATCTGATGCGCAGAAACGCGTCAGAAACCGTCACACCGACTTTCTATGCGACATCTCAACTTCGAGGCACCCGTTAGCAAACATTGCAAAATTTGTTATACGCCAAACAAATCATAGCAGGATGGTTGTGACACACCTTAAACTTCCTTAACACACTGGGTGAAACGGATGTCACCGTTTACTCAGTACGCACTGCAACATAGAGATATCTGCTTATTTGCGTTATAGAGATATCTTTTCACGGCATATGAGCACATATAAATTTAGCTAGTAGAGAGCTTGAACGACAGCGTAGCTCTCGGTATTGCTGCCAGATTTCCAAGTCATTATATGCTGTATGCTTGGTGGTCATGGGATACCCAAGATACTTATATTTTGGCAAACGTTAGAGTATAGAGATGTCAATTTGGGCGATTCCATCTTGTGCCATTTTACGCATTTTCGAAATCCTATGGATACCAAGAGGAGTAGCAGAAAGAAGGAGGATGTCATCAGCATACGATAAATGATTAGCGCTACCAAATTGATGACACCTTACACCAACGGGCAATGGCGAGCGACAGGCCATCAGTATACACATTAAAAAGGAAGGACGACAAAAGTCCCACTGGAGGACCCCGATAAAAACGGAAAAATCGCTAGTCAGATGATTTCCCCGTTGCACATCAAATACCTGTACGCTGTACCACGATATGTGTAGGCCTACGAGGTAAAGAGCCATCTCTCTGCATAATAACTTGTCAAATGGTTTTCAGTTATTCACTATCAAGCGCTTGGTGAGGAACGAAGGTCTCCACGGTTTAAGATGTTTCGATTTAAGGTTTCCGAACTGAGGAATGTCTGATCATCACAGTGACAACAACCCTTCTCCACGAATGCGTATGCATCTGTACGTAGGACCACTCAGGTTTACCTCCACGGATGAGCACCGGTGATCAAGAAATTTGATAACGTCTTCGCGGACCGTCTCCGAAGAACAGCAATGCGTCCCTTTCCTCTCGCTGCCGCATCTGCACCTGTCAAAAACTGCAGCATGCTTGATCATGTGCATGTCGCTGTTTTACTCAATGCTAACGCAGTTTGCATGACCAACATAGTACATGTTGCATGGTCGGGTATGACATGCGTCAATCGTCTAACGATTGCAACATTTCAAAGTATTTGCGCATTGAAGCAAAGCGCTGTAAAATACGCGTATCGAATCGATCCACAGAAAGAGGCTGGCAAACTGCGACCAATTTATGTGCAACCAGTGTGACATATTTTTGTATATCGTGCTAGATGCGTTTGAACAGTAAACAAACCTTGTGACGTTCGGTTTAGGCAGCAGCGAGCTGTGGTCTTATGAAAAACGGTCGGGCATCCCGGCGCCACGCCGCTCACACCACGCCCCGTGCCCCAGACACGTTCGCCAGCAAGGTGGCCGCCGTGCAGGACCGCTACGCAGACGCCTCGGTCGGCAATGTCACCGGATCCAACGGCGTGAACGTCTTCCTTGGAATCGGCATCGCCTGGAGCATGGCCGCCATTGTGCATTGGTTCAAGGGCTCCAAGTTTTTGGTCGACCCCGGAAAGTGAGCACCTTTCATCTGTGTCAGGACTCTTATCGCACCATGCAAAAATTATCTGCTTTCTTGAACACCGTTTCTGCAGTACTGACCCTATTTTGTGTTTTTTTTGAAACATGGTCTCTTTTGCTTTGTACACAATTTCCAAAACAGCCTGTTGTTCTCTGAGTTGCCATTTCCGATGAAAGGAGCGGTGTGCCGCTCTCTGTGGGACCAGCTCGAACGCGTTTCCACTATTATGTTGTTCTCCGTGTCGCTGTCCCCACTCCTCCGTTCAAAGACTACTGCTCCCTTGGTAATTGTCCTTATTGCTGTGTCCACAGCCTGGCGTTCTCCGTAACGCTGTTCTGCTGCGAGGCCGTGTTAGCCATCGCGCTCATGCTCCTCCGCCGGCACCCAAAAGTGGGCGGCGAGCTTGGTGGGCCACGCGGGGCCAAGATCGCGTCATCGTTCTTCCTGTTCTTCCTCTGGGTGATCTACATCGCCATGTCAGCACTGGAGGCTTACGGTGTCGTGCCCAGCTTCTGAGCGAGGTCGGCAAACGACCGGTTGGCGTCCCCAGAGGCGCGGGACGGCACGGGATTGATGGGCAGTGTCGCCGTTTGGCGGCGCTGCTGTTGCCACACCAGAGCCCGCCTCCGAGCTGCCCGCGCCGTGCGTCCCGCACGCCCTCGAAGGCAACGGCTCTGTGCAACGCTGATGTCATCTGTGAGGGTTCGGACTCGATCAATTGGCCGCTAGGGCTGTCGACTAAAGCAGACAGCAGCGACCGTGCTCTCCACCCCGTCCCACCCCTCCCCACCTCGAAGTCCGTGTATTAGAAAATGTCCCCTCCCCCGCAAATGGTCTCGGAGTGCCCAAACCTGGATGTGATTCGTACTAGTCATGTTTTTGTTTTTCTGTTTGCATGGAGCATTCCTGTAGGAGAGACTGTGAGTTTCCTGTCCAGTGTTGGCGTGGTCGTCAGTGAACAATCATTACTGTACATATTAACACGCACGCGGCTCATTGCGATTACATTGGTCACGGTTGTTAATCACTTAGTTAGGCAATAGGGGTCTGTCTATCTGTACCAATTTTCGGTGATTTGCGGGTTCTGATGTGCACGCGGCACGTTTTTTTTTCCTTTGTACTATTCCGCCCTTGTCGAAGGGCGTCCTCTTCCGCTGCGCCGGAGACCGCCTCTGGTAGCTCTTCACGCGCAGCGGCGCCCGGCTATTCCGCTCGTCTGTATGCCTGCGACGCTCCGTCTCCACTCCCTCCTTTGCGTTTGTTTTCCCGTCGCGTGCTGACATGGCGTGACTGCATGATGCGGCGGTCGCGCCGCGGCCTGAGGCGTGCGCGTGTACAGTGGACTGCCGTCGGCGCCCCGGGCGGTGGGAGGCTGGTGAGGTGCAACGAAGAGCGGCGCCGCGTGTTTGGACGGCGCCGGCTCACCGCGCTCAGTCGCTTGGCCGGATTTACAGCGGCGGCCGGTCGGTGGCAAGTGTCGGCCGGTCGTGACCGCCCCCGTTTCACAGCGGCGGTCGATCGGTGAAAAGTGGCGGCGGGAATTGGTCGCCTTGTTTGGCCAGGCTTGTTTGCGGAGCGGCGGCCGATCGGTGACAGCTGTCGGCTAGTCACGGTCGCCTCCGATTGGCCAGGCCTGCTCACACGCATGTGCTGACCATCAAGAACCTCGCCGTCCCCATTCGCCCGCCACGACAATCAGAGATGCCGCCGGCTGCTGCCACGTCGCCCTGCGCTGGCGCGCCGCGGACGTTGTGTTGATGCGGGTGTGCTCCGCTGGTGCAATAAGCCGTCGGCTCGGCGTCACGCGCCGCGAGCCGATCCTCAGGGGGCGGGGGTCGCGCCGCTTGTTACATGATGACTCGCGCTGCGCCGGCGGGCCGGCCGCCGCGAGTCGGGGCGCCGGCAGGCCGGCCGCTGCGTGTCCGAGCGCCGCGCGCTGCCGTCGGCGCCGGGCAGCGGCCACGGCCAACGGCCGACCGGCCAGCGCCGGGCGCCAGCCGAGATTACCTGTTTTGAAATGTGCAGTTGTCACTTGGGACTACCGGCACCAGGATGTATCATTTCAATATATTTCAAGTGCCAACGCATTGTGTGACTACCGGAAAGCCGGGATGCGTGAGAAATGACTGACATCACTGACATCATCATCAAATGACATCAGTCGAACATCGGCCTGGTTCATGCCTAAGCTGCAGGCCTGCGGGCCGGCAGTCCCGGTAGCTGGTCCCGCGTCACGCCGACAAGCGCCGCTGCCTGCCCGCACTGCATGCGGGTCAGGCAGCTCTGAGCTCGTGCTCCAATAACTGCGCACATCCAGTTCCCGTCAGTGAGGGCAGGACGTGTCCTGCCTTTGTAAGGGCCTGAAACGGTGCCGCCAGGGGCCCATTGACACTTTCGTTCGGCTGGTATCTCCTTATATAAGCGGTCTTTTGCATTATTTGTGATCTGACGTTTATGATGGCTGACAGATGCATAGGCCTCATCACGACAGACATGGAGGTTGAACAGTATTGCCAGCTCATTGAAGCAATGCCCGCGCAAAAAAAAAACTGAACTGACAAAAGCTCTGATGTGCGAGGGCGCACCCTTAAGTTGGAGGTACAGGATACTGCAGCTTGTGCTAGCATTATTAAAAAGGACCTTAGTTGGTATCAAATCTGAACTGTACAAAGCTTGAAAAAAGCAAAACCTGTGGAATATCGTCGGATCTATCAAAATGACTGGTGGATTTTGCTAAAGCGCGCTTTGGTCTCGTTATCATGCACCAAGTTCTCATTACGCGTTTGCGGTGTTTTTGTTTCACTAGTCCTATGTGATCAAATTCACTAACGTGCAATGATGAATTGCGCATGATATAAAACTTTCCGTACGACAAGTTACTAATTATTTTGCTGGACCTGGTGACAGCCGATAAGTTTCGCTGCTTTTTATCCAGCTTTACGTCCATTTTAGATTTAGTACCAAACAATGTCCAGGGACTTAATTCGGTGCTAAATCACCGCTGTCTAAGAAGGGCCATCTACCTAATATTAGCAGACAGAGCTGTCGGATCATGCTAACGTGAGAGGGATTTTTGTGACAGGGGAAGTGAAGTACTCATGTTTCATAAGAGCTCAAAATTTTTGGAATGATGTTAAGCATTATACTCATAAGCCCAATTATGACTCTATTTTTTTCCAACTACCTTTTATAGACATCCAAATTATTTGGTTGGTGCCTTTGGGGAGGACTGTGTTGGGGAAGAAGGGGGGGGGGTTGGGCTCCGGGCCCCAACTTGGGCTCCACCCCCAGTTTTGAAAAAAAAATCAAATTCGGAAAGAGTCTCGTTTTTTGCGTATCTGGGGCTAGGTTTAACCATATGTAACCGTCATTTATTGTCGGTTTTCTGTTGTTCGCCTAACATGATTCTTTTCGAAACTACTCCCCTGGGCTTAGCATCAGCTTACATGCTAAGCATAGCCTGTTGCGTTTACTTAAGATAATAGGGGGGCTCCTGAGTAGCTCACCCGAGGTAGGACAGTGATCGATGATCAAAAATTATTCCATCTGTGAAAAAGTTTTTCGCTGGATGCATAAATCTTGTATTTATGGAACGGTGCACATCCTGAGCGCGTCAGCCCCCTTCTCGCGCTATTCACGGCAAGACACGTTGTTCATTCAGGAAGACATAAATCTAAAGAACAAAAAACAAACCTCAAAAATCGTTGCCGTCGCTGCATTAGTCGGACGTAGCCCCATAAAATTCCTTTGCCGTCACTGCCAAATGCTCGAGATGTTCATAAGGATGTTGTCTTTATCTACATATATATATATATATATATATATATATATATATATATATGTTGTTTTTAATTCGTTTCCAAAATTTGTTGGAAAATGATTTGAAACCACACGTACACCATACGGCATGCAAGTGTGCTCCCTAAACTTGAACCCCGGAAAGAAGCCGACGACGGGAGACGCAGACTCAGACGGGAACCAGACTTTCCTAGCTTTCGATGGTTCACTAATGAGGCACATCTTTGCTTAGAAGCCTAGGCGAATCAAAGAGCAATGTGTGCTCGCGAGAAACTAAGCTCGATACCGTACTTGAACCCGATCCCTGCACTAAGCGAAGTTTATGACATGGATGGCTATGTCCATGCATGGTTTGATCGGACCATTGCGGTTCGAGGAAAACGGCCGTTCGGCTGCGATGAACGCGCCTCGAGTCACTGAGGTTTCGGGGTAGTTCTGGCAGCATTTAGGAAGAGCACTCGCGTGCAGACGTGCAATTCAGTGGTTTCTACAGGACGAAGCCCCGCCCCATTGTTCCCACGAATAATGAGAGTGGCTCCAGCATCTCTTCGGCGATCGAGAGGCATCGGCTCAACGTGGAGCGGGCGGCTCATTTCATGACCTGGCATTTCTCGATGGAGCGGATGGCTCATTCCATGATCTGGCATTCCTGGATGGAGTGGGCGGTTAATTCCACGACCTGGAATTCATCGACTTCATTCTTTGGTAGTACCTATAGTGCATGTCTGTGAAGACAGCCGCGGACATTTGCTAAGGTCAAGGCAGAAACATAATGCAACATTCAAGCGATTAGTTCCATCGCTCAGTGGGTAGACATCGTCAACAATTGGGTCAAGTGCATTCAAGCGTGTTCGAGTCGTCAGGTGAAAACTTTGAGCATCTAATAATACATTCCTAAATCCACGCGAGACGTGTCATCACTATGAATTTTGATAGGCTTCTGTACCACTTTTCGTGCCAAATATCAAAGAAGCATATGATGATGTTTATAATAACGACCCCCTCCCCTAAGCCCTAGATTCACTTCCGGACTTATGTTGTTATAGTTTTATGGTCAAGCAATGCCTCCTCTAATGACCCGATATCATGACCGCGTGAGACGAAGCGATTTAATGCGTGGTGATGCCCAAGATATGCATTCTTATATGACTGCGCCTAGCCCCGTTCAATCATTGTGTTGTCAGCACGATTGACAGCTGGAATGCGTGACGTCATGCGTGCTGATGGAACGTTCGATGCTTGGACTGAGGGGAAAGTACTTTAATTTTACCTTCCTTTTTAATCTAGGCCCCATCAGCACGACTATCATCTGGAATGCGTGACGTTATGCGTGCTGATGGAGCGTTCGATGTGTGGGCTTAGGGGAAAGTACTTTAACTTTATCTTCCTTTTTTATCTAGGCCCCATCAGTATGACCATCAGCTGGAACGCGCGACGTCATGCGTGCTGACGGAGCGTTCGATGTGTGGGCTTAGGGGAAAGTACTTTAACTTTATCTTCCTTTTTTATCTAGGCCCCATCAGCACGACCATCAGCTGGAATGCATGACGTTGTGCGTGCTGACGGAGCATAACGTCACGGACATTCATACGGAGTTCAGTGTGTGGGCCGAGGGCAAGGTTTTTAACTTTATCTCCTTTTTCTCACTTTACCTGTTAACTTCTTCAGACCACTCACTCACTGACTTACCCCCGACCGTGACACAATATAACGCGGTGTTTGAAAGTGAAGATCTCGCTCTGATATTACCATCATCTATCCCGTCCATAAGTTGAGTTATTCTTCCCATTCCCACCTCATTTGAATTTATTTGCTTCTCATTTTAAGTGTTCATTCATTCTTGTGTGGAAAAGGTCTCTCGATCCTTCCACTTCTACTTATGATGGCATAAACTCCATCCGTTCATTGAACTTCCACTTGCACTGACGAAGCCCATGTTCGAGATCCGTGGCGTCTCGTTCCTGCTCACCATCTTTTGCGATTACTCCAACGCTACTAACTTACTGAGGAACGCAACCATACACCACACCAGTCACTGTCAATTGCCTTTTTTATGGCTACTCTTGGCAGTTAAATTCTCTTATTATGTATCCTACGTTGCATTCACCCAAAATGAGTCAACAAAACAAAAAAGCGCCACCACACCGCTAACATTTTCGCCAACGCAAATGCTTCTGAATCAAACTCCCGCTTTTTTCTCAGTCTTTTTAAGATGGTAGCGCTTTCTTTCCATGCTGAACGGCTGACAAAAATCCTGGGCCGCGCTCGATCTGTCGGCAGCACGTTCGTCAGCACCAATCACGGCCCAGCAGTCGCCCTCCGTCTCGTCACGCAACCACGAAGTCACGTGGCCCGTGATGTCACGCTCGGGCTGGCGATGATGCCAGGATTTTCTGTCGGCCTGTCAGCATGGGGGGAAAGTGCTACCAAATTTTTAAAATCACTGACTGAAGCGGGAGTTTGAATTCAAAGCTCTTGCGTTAGCGAGTACGTTAGGTGGGATGGGGCAACTTTATTATTATGAGGGAAAAGTGGCATAAGGTAGATAAGGGGGGAATTGAAATGCCAAGAGTAGCCGTGAAAAGGTCAGTGACAGTGATTTGTGTAATGTGTGGTTGCGTTCCCCAGCAAATTAATAGCGTTCTGAGAAAGCACCTAGAATGAGAAGAGCAAAGTTGAAATGAATGGGAAATGGGAAGAAGCACCCAACATACGGATGGGAAAAATGTTGGTAATATCAGAACAGAAGCGACACTTGCAAACACAACTTTGCACGCATCGTGTCATGGTATGCAGTAAGCCAGACGTGTACGGACTGAAGTGAAAGGCAAAAGAAGAAGGGAAAGTAAAGTGAAAGCTTTTCTGTCAGCCCACACATCAAACGCCCCGTCAGCACGCGTGACGTCACGCATCCCAGCTGACAATCGTGCTGACAACAGATCGAAAGGGGCCCGGGGTTTTTATTTGATAGCTCTTGCGATGGCGAGTATCTAAGATGGAGTGAGGGCACTTGTTTTGAATTTTGGGGAATGCAGCGTAGGATAGACAAGAAGAAAATTGAACTGCCAAGAGCTATAATGAAAAGGTAGGCGACAGTGTTTGCTGTGGTGTATGGTTGCAGTAAATTAATAGCGTCAGAGTAATCAAAAATGAAGGAGAACATAAACTAAGCGCCACTAGTCTCGAACATGGGCTTTGCTAGTACAAGTGGGGGTTCAATGAAAGGGTGGGCTTCATAGCAGCACAAGGAGCACTAAATGATCGACAGACCTTTTTCACACAACAAGGAGTGGAAACTTACAAGTGAGGAGAGAAGAAATTGAAATGAGATGGAACTGGAAAGAATCACTGATCTTACGGATGGGATAGATGAAAAAAGTAATATCAGAGCTTGGATCCATTGTTCCAAACATCACTTTATAGGTAGTGTGTCCTGGTCGGCAGTAGACCAGACTTAATATATGGTCTGAAGTAGTGACAAGGTTAATGAAGAAAGGGACAAAAAAGCTATAAAAAAAAACACTTTCCCGTCAGCCCGCACATCGAACGCTCCGTCAACACGCACGACGGCACGCCTCCAGCTGATAACCGTGCTAACGACAGATCAAACGGGGCACTGGCACCATCGTCAGCTGGCGCGGGACGTCATCGACCATGTGACTTCAGGGTCACGAGACGTGACGTCTGGACGAGTCAGACAAAAATTCCGTACATCTGACGGTGTTAATATAAAACCATATTATCCTGACATGCTCGTACGATGGGGTAACTGGCAAAAATGCCAAGTACTTGGTTTAGGCCAACAAATTTGTTACCTTAAACCAAATCATCTTGAAAAAGCCGTTTATGCTAACAAAATGTTAGCGTAACCGAAACTTGTCAACCCAGCCTGCGTTGCGCGTGACATTGACATTGTAGCCTGCTTCATTTGCCATCCGAACTGAAGTGAGCTAGAGTCGCTCTCCCTTCAGTGGCACATCAGCTTGGAACGGTGTCTCTCAGAAATACAGTTAGCTCGCAATCCGTGTTTGATGAAGTGAGAGGGGAAATGTATCTTAAGGAAGAAGATATGGCTTAAGCATTTTGGGGAGAGGTTAGGAGTCATTTCCAGAAATTATGCGTGTAGTGGTGGAATGCTTATCATTTGTTTTACATTAACTGAAAGGTATATATATTATTGATTAAAAGTTTGGTATATCGAGAGGCTTCAAATAAACGGGATGCACCGCGATATACATTGCAGACAGTTTCTTCTGAATACATGAATATGTTCAACAAACAAGTACGGGACCACAGAACGGTAATTTGTTCACATATTCCACTTTTCAGTACGCAGGAGAGAGGTCCAACTGCACACCTTCAGCTTAGCAGCACAAGGACGCTTATCCAAAGCTGATGCAAACTGACAGGCTTCCATATGTAATAGCCGGTCGATTTGTCGTGGAATTGGCCGCTTGACAAAATTTCAGAATCTCCATTTTATCCCAGACTAGTAAGAGTGAAATGTGAGAGCCAATTGCAACGTTTGATCGAAATGGTAAATGTAATCGGTGATGATATATTCTGTTGGTATATGCCCCTTCTTTCCTTAGTTACCTTACCTTGGGTTTAACCTTTGCCTATCACGTTACTTTGGGTATTCCAGCTGTTGACCGGCACGCTACCTATAACATTGTCAGCCCTTTCCAGCCGTCTTGTTATTGTACTCATACATGATGACTTTTATGCAAAGACGCGTTAGCATGCAAACGGACTGGGTGCTAACCATACAGGTGTATAACGAAAGGGAAGGCGTGCCAGATAGTAGAATGGAGCAGCAACGACTTCAATATCACTCTGGCCCAGCCACCCAGGTAACAAGTTGTGCCGTCCATTTCAACGGATATTTTTGTCTCCTACCTTTCGCCAGAAAAAGAGTAAGTAGCATTTTAGGTGCCGCACGAGGCTACAGCACGGCCGCGCATGCCTTAGTTGACCCTCGTTACCCAGTTGCCAGATGATATTTATATTTCAATCGTGTTAACAAACAAGGCGTCCCATCTGAGACCCGTTCCCGGTGCCTCCCGATTACGAGTGCTGCTTCTTTCACATAGACGACGGATGCGGTCTCAACGGCTTCGGCACCCTTTCTACAGACCATGAAGACGAACTTGAATGGAGCTGAGCAGCTGTGAGCACGTGATGGTGCTTCGAAGGGAGAGTATTGTCCTGTTTGCCTCATTTTGCGACAGATTTTATTTTCCGTACTAATCGTACGCTGACAGTGTTTTAGGGGTGTTGTCAAATCTCCAACATGACTAATATTTACATCGCTCCTTGGCATTGCTTAGTCAGCTGATTGACGCGTCGCGGTCGTTGGTAGGGGTTGGCGCCGGAGGGCGTCGTAGACTTTGATAATAGATCAGGGTGGGGTGGAAAGAAGTGATTGTTATTATTTCAGGGCACATGCAGGTAAACTGATATGCCAGAGGTACCCATCAGTGTTGCACTGTGCTGCACGATATGTTCGGGTCTGCCTGCACGCGCTGGAATTGTCGCAGTTCATGCTGTACACATGCTCTATGTTATTTGCAAATTTGCCCATTTGTTTTTATGCCATGTTGGGTCATGGTGACATGTGTACTTCAGCTCACTGGATCCATGCTTGCTTGTGTAGATGCATTTTTGTCAGCATTTATGTTTGAATTACTGGATGTGATGGCTTATTAAATTTATTTGAACTGACATTCTAATTTGAAAGTAACTGGGGTCTGATACATTTGTCCTTTGACAGGCTGTAGTCAGACCTGTGTCCTCAGGTCATTTATGTTATTTAACCTTCATCCCTGCCACCATCCAGTCACCATTTGTCACCTGTCTGTCCCTGCAACCACCCACCTGTCAACCACTCAGTCACCAGTGATCAGGATGGGATACTTGCCAGCACAGCATCCCAGGTGATCCCAAATGACCAAATGAGCCCTTATCAAATGGAGATTTCATATAGTAAAGAGTAATGTTGAACAAGGGTACTTAGCTGGATTCAGTCACATGTTGCACTTGCAATCAAATGTGATGTCAGGACAGCTCAGATGCTACAAGCAGGCACCATCAGTTCATTGATTTGGCCTGACATTGCTTGACTGTAGAAAGGGATATTTTCAGAAGTGTCCTTACTTGTGTTGTGCAGGTATGATGTTAATGTTGGAGCATCTTTGGGGTCTGCTCAACTGGTACTTGCGGCCATTTTTCAAGTGGCTCCTGCACAAAACAACTCGTCTATGTGAGATGCAGCGGATATGTTATGGTCAGAAACCTGGAGCAGCACGAACAAGACGAGTTGGTAAGCCATTGTATCTTCTCATTGTGTATGCTGTGCCTATTGTTGTGTTCTAGTGTGAGGTGCAGTGACATAAAAACCAAATGTTTATGTAAGATTTTGATGGATTTCCTTCCTATGCAGCAATAAGCAAGATTTTAATTTCTGTACTTTTCTGGGAACATAGACTTGCATCCTTGATGCTGTTCTATCATTGGGATGGTCATTGTGCCTATAATCAGAACTTGTGTTTGTTGGTATGTTTCTGTGTGTTTGTGTGCCACCATGCAGGCAGGAGCATAGGTGTGTTACCACTTTGATGTGATAAGAAAGTGTCAAAGCTGAACACCAGTGCAACAATAATGCTTGCTTAAGGCTGAACACCAATAGGGCCACTTTTGTTTGCTAAGGATGCATAGGTGCTGTGGCCATTTTACATAATGTTCAGTTTCATCCCCATGGTGTGTAAGTATGACTAATTGCTTTCAAATTTAGAAAAATTAACCCTACCACCACTGCCTTTAAAGTGTCTGAAGTATTTCTTATAGTGGAGAAGGCTTCTTGAAGAAGTGCTCTGGTGTTCTGAAAATGAGCATTATTGAAAATATGTATATAAGTGCTATATGTATAATAAGTGCTGTTGAAAGTGAATGATGGAAAGAAGTGGCTCAGTGTTTGTGCCCCTATTTCCTGAAATGAATGAATAATAACATGTTGTAAAAGCAGGGTTCCAATGCCAGCAAATACCAAATGGCTGAAATGTTGCCACTTTCATGATTTGCTTTCAGCCCTAATGCTGTGAATAAAAATTCTGCCCTGAGGACGCACCTAACACTGTCTTCCACTGGTTCTACCTATCGACCCGTGCTTATTGTGCCATGATCTCCTGGACTGTAAGCAATCGCGAAAGTGTGGAAAAGTGGCTCCCAGCTGCTTTGCATCTTGGAAGGGATGCCGATATGCCTTGCTTGCAATGCTTTTGCTTTTCTACAGAGGAATCGATGATGCGATCTCGCACCAAAACCATCATCGATTTAGTCGCCTACCTAGATCAGAAGTCCAGCAAACGACAGTTTCTCGGGCCGTCCAGGGCGATGGTCATCGACTATTCTGTGTTTGCTATCCTCAAGGTCAAACGAATCAAGCCGGATATACATGCCCAGTAAGTACAGGGTGAGGAGAGGAGTGGTCTTCGTCGTCATTCCGTTATTGGTGCTGCATTGTATGTGTACTTTGCGCGTACCGTTGTCCTATGCCTGATCAGGTGCAGGGACCTGGATCAGCTCCTTGGTGCGCGTTGGGGGTGGAGATGGGCTGGCATCCCTGTGGCTTTGTAATTTAATTGGCATAGCGGCCTTTGGGAGGATGAGGCATGTTTGTGGCTTGACTTCCACGTTTTAACCTAATCAACAATCCGAATACATGAGGGTAGCGTCATGCATGTACGGGGTCATATACACATCAGACCGCCAAATAAAATGCAGTACCGGATGCAGGTGGTGGGAAAATGTTTTGTGTAACAGGAACCCCGAATGGTGGCATGTAGTCCAGAAATCCGCACGCTTGGACTGGTCACGAAATGGCGTGATTTGTTAACACAAAACTAGTGTTGGCAGGTTCCGCCACCGCTGGAATTCTTTTTTCGGATAGAGGCCGAAGTCATGGGTTTGGGCTCATGGGATTTTCTGTTATTGTTCTGACGTTATTTCTACACATATTCGTGGTGAGAATGCCATTAGTCATGGTGACGCCACGGCTTGGTGCAATGACTGCAGACTGCGTGAGTAAGGGAAGTTTTCCTCGAGACGTCTTTAAATTTCCAAAGCCTTGCAAACAACTATGCCAGATATTGTCGGCACTGGTGGTAAGAACTTGTATGACAAATTTCAAGGGCGGCATTCAATGTTAAAGGGAACGTTTCAAATTTAAAGATATGGAAGCAAGCATCAGGTGTGATGAAACAAACTCACTTATGACTATTGGTATACTTTTGAAGTGAAAATACTTCTCTAGACAGCACACCTCTCTTCAGCAAAAAAGCTCTTCATTGAGTCATGGTCTGATTGCGTCACCGTACCTTGCATAACATTGATTGAGAGCCAGTTGACGGCCATTGTGTCTGGAAATCGCACTCACGAACGCCAGATGTGAACGCCGTAACACTAAGGTTTTCCTTGATCGCCGATTTCCTTGAATCGGTGATCGCCGCCTGGCTTATGGAATGGGAGGATTTGAATGACGTAATTATGACCTAAATGCCAAGGTGACTTTATATAATCCCTATTTCTCCCCCAACATACCTTTCCCATTTTTGTGGGCGTATAGCTCAGAAACTAGAGGGGAGTAAGTCAAGGAGGACAGGATCATGAACAGCACTGAATGTTCTGCAAGGTTGTTATTTCGGTTTAGAACCCGATAGAAATGTAGAACACTCTTTAATGCCTTATATGACTCACAGTCAAATCTAAGTGTTGACTCATATACATGTGGGCGGCTGGAGGACGCAAAATAACCATCACAGGCCGACACGCCCTAAAACCCAATCATCATTATCATCAGGCAATTTGGCTTTCACCAGTGTTATGTTGCCGCTATAAGTATTTGCAACGGACTGAGGAAACATAGATATGTGTGGCTTTTCAAACGTTTTTTTTTTTTTATTTAACATACGAGCTAAAGAAACTTGCGTTACATTTCGTGTAAAGTAAGGGAGTAACGAGTTAAATAACTATCTTTCTGAAGCATCGGGGCAAAGGAGGCAGAAATTTTAGTAATGGTGCCCACCTATGCACGAAACCAATGACTATGGCTTATGGATGATGTGAGCACGTGCATATCCCATTGTTACTGGTCTTCACCCCGGGCGCAGGCCCAGGTCTGACCACTGCTGTTTTTGGTACGGGCTGCGTTCCTTTGTAAAGTCCGTCGCTCGGGCCTGCTTGCCACCACTGGGCCTGCCTCTGACAGTACTGACGGTCGGCGCGACGGTCGGCAGGTTCGTCAACTCGATGTCGGTCTGCCTGGACCAGATCTGGGGCTACCGGCAGCTGGCGGCTGAGCTGGAGCACCTGCGCCGCACGCCGTACGACGCTGCGCTGCCCGAGCACGAACACAAGCTGCACCAGCTCTGGACGCTCCTTCAGCCAGATGTGAGTCCGCGATGACCGGGCCCGGCCGCCGTGCGCTACCCAAGATGGTTCTGCACTGCGGCCGTGGCGCTTTTTTAACGGCAACTTACGCCGTGTCGTACCGGCCCCGTGGTTTTGTTTGCAACTACGTTCTGAACAGTCAGGCTGCCAAGCCATTCTGAAGCGGGGTGACATGTTGCAAATACGAGTTCGACGTAGTTTATGAAATGCTGACTGGCATGGTCCCTAAACACCTACGGGAAAGTATTTGGAAGGCATGTGAACAGCAGTCGCTAGCTGTTTATGGTAAACGTGTCTTCTATATTGCATGGACTGTAAGCAGCCATGTTTGACGGTGGTCGGTGATGACGTGGCATATTGGCATCGCGGCTGATCGCATTTGGTCGATGCGGGCATGCGAACTGCCACAGGGGCCGACCCAGAAGCAGTAGGAGGGTGATTGCGAGTTCTTGTTGTCCACGTGAGCCGGGCTAGTTGACCTTAATAATGTGGTCTTGTAAGTGGAGTGCACGCAATGATTCCGGTGGTGACGTACGTTCCGGTTCTGTTCCGGGTTCCTGGCAAATAGGCCGCCATATCTTTGCAAATGCATGCGCAGTGGTGACGATAAGTGAGCTGCCGCTGATTTTTTTTAGATGAGCTGTTCAGCCCAATGATTGTGTTTCCCTTTTCTTTTCTGAGCGCTAGCGTGATACACAATGTCCGTGATAATATTTCAGGGATATATATATATATATATATATATATATATATATATATATATATATATATATATAGATGAATGTATTGGTGTGAACAAGGCTGTGGCCTTTAGTATAGATGAAAAGCATATATGTTGATGCGCTGTTTTTACGACTTTTCTGGTCTCCGTTCCTGAATTTCTCCATCGTCACAATATTCTATTGCTGTACACGGTGGAGCATAAACACATGTCCGGATCTCACTTGCCCATACCATAGCAATGTTGATTCGTATTGCTAAATCTAGCGGAGCACAATGTTCACCGTTTAGGGAGACCTGTGTCTTGCATCGTTCACACTTGGTCATCCCTCGGAACTCTTTGTGCCAGGTGCCAAAGATGACTCCCTCTCCGTTCGAAGGAGGCAGAGATCTACACGCTATGCAGCTTCATCGATAGCGCGTGTCTGGTGTGATCAGACGCACCATCTGGCCGATGGCCGATGACCGATGGCCGATGGCCGATGGCCGATGGCCGATGGCCGATGGCCCCATTTAGGTGACCAAGGTTCGACTATTAGGTCTCTTCTCCTCCTGCAGACTTGGCGTTTCAGGGGCCCCAGGAATTTAGCTAAACATCTAGGAGCTTCGATAGGCAGAGTGAGCTGGTCAGGGTTTTTCGTGCTTCGGCTGGTGGTGCGCTCCCCGAAGGCGCCCTCCCGCCAGGTCAGCACCATCCTGGGCTTAGGGAAGGCGCGTCATCAGGGTGCAGTGAGATGCTCTCCATTCTCCCTCGGGCTGTGGCTCCAGCTGTCTCCAGAGGCACTCCAGTATGCCAACGTACCACTCCTTGTTGAAGGTGACCGTGGAACCGTCTGCACGCTGAAAGAAGATGAGGCCGAAGGAGTTCATGGCGCGCCGCTTTGTCACCGTTGGGCGAGGTGCTAGGGTGTGTCATCAGCTGCAGAACGTGGCGAGTTGGTGATAATTGATGTGACATAGTATGCTTTTAGGCTTCTCAAAATATTTTTCGGAATATTAATAATCCAGCGTGCGTCGGCCGATTACTATATCACGCTCTTTCCAGCGCTGACATCTGGTGGTATAACTCACGGTTTTTTGTGACCGTCACAAAGCACGGTTTCTTTTTCTTGCCCCGCTGCATTGACTTCCGAGCCCCGATCACGCAGCAGTCTGACATATCACAATGTGTAGATTTAGCCATAAACTTCGTGGAGTGGTGAGCAAAGAAAATCGTTTAACCCAAATATGAAGTGCAAACTATGTTCTGCCTGATTCTGACAAATTTTTTATCAAAGTCGGGAGGGGCTGGGGTGTCATTCAGCTGAATAAGAAACTACACCCCTGGTGCCAAATTAAACATATCTATGTCAGTGGAAGTGCAGGTGGATGCATCATTGCCCCAGCACTTGTTCCCCAGGCGAGTAAGATTGTGCTTTGGCTGGAAAGAAGCTGCCCTACTTAGTATGTCCCAGATTTTTGTATGCGTGTTTTGGTGGCTTGCATACATTTCAGGACTAAATTTTTGATAAAGTGCTCTGGGGAATAATGCTACAGATACCCAGCATTTCAAGCATTGTTTTTAGTCAGCCTTAATTGAGACCCATACCTCTAGAATATTGTTGTCAATATAAACAGCTTTCTATCGGCTCCATAGCTTCAAATAGTACGGTAAGTGGGAGCGTACAATTAGGAAGGAAGCATTCCTTAGCAAGCTTGAAGATGTAGAAATTACAAACAGCCAATCTTCAATGGTCTTTGGCAATTCAGTGAGACCAGCCAGTGTATGATGCTTATTGTCATTTGCTGCTAAAAATGTCATACAGTACCAGTTTTGTACACAGCGCAAACTCACATGGACCACTTTGTTCTCGCTACAAACCGTCATTTTGTAATTATTTGTTCTCCCTAAGAGCCCAAACCAAGCCTCAGATACTGCACCCTACCTCCTGCAACTGTCACCTTTGGGCTGTGCAGCGAGCTCTTCAGCAAGACTTCTGGAGGGCTGTGCAGTGAGCTCTTTAGCACGATGTGTGGAGAGCTGTGCAGCGAGCTCTTCAGCACGATGTTTGGAGGGCTGTGCAGCGAGGTCTTCAGCACGATGTCTGGAGGGCCGTGCGGTGGGCTCTTCAGCACGATATTTGGAGGGCTGTGCAGCGAGCTCTTCAGCACAAGGCCTGGAGGGCTGTGCAGCGAGCTCTTCGGCACGAGTCTGGAAGGCTGTGCGGCGAGACCTTCAGCACGATGTTCGGAGTTCCGAGACCTAAATCCTGTAATTTATATGTTAGGTGCCCCATTCAGGTGGATGTGGGCCTCCTGGTCATATAGTTTTGGATCATTTAAGGGAATCTGCTGAACGATTCTGCGACTGGTGCGGTGCCGCCTTTGCCCAATTTTTGGTGGACTTAAACAGTCATTATTTATGATGAACCGGGGTTTTGCGAGGTGTTATGCTCTTCTTTATGACTATCTTCCTCTTCGTACAGGCTCTTTCTATAGGCAGAAAACTGTTGTTTCGTCTGATGTCGTGAACCAGTGCAAATTAGCACCTTTTGACTCCGTGTTTGGCAGCACCGCTGTACGAGGTGCATCTGGGGTTACTAAAACTCAGGTTACTTAAACTCCAGGGCACATGTTATCGAACCAATCAAAAAACACGCACCCGTATGATATTACGTTTCTCTATATGCATATAAAATCACGGCATGCTCTTCGAACTAGTACCTCTTATGACGTGATTGGCTGGGGATCTGACCTCCGAGTGTTTTTCGAAATTAATTTCCGAACCGTGCTAGATTTTGTAAAGCTGTGTACAATTGAATAGCCGATTTTTCGGTACAACAAGATGAGATAAACCTTACAAGATCGCTGACCTGTGACAGGTCAAATTCGGGCCATGGATGTCAGCGAAAGTGATTCGTATGGAATTGTTCAATAGGTTGTGGTAAACAAGTAGTACGCGAGGTCATGCATCATTTGAATGGTTTCTTAGACAATTTTTGAGAGTAGGATTATGATTAATTCCATTAACCTTGGGCACAATTTGAAGGCTAGATGAAGGTCAAAACCCAACCGCTCTATTACTGACGAACGCGCTTTATGCGGTGGTTTTTGACGCGGTAACTTCAATTTCCTGGATCGCAGCGATGTTAAAGGATCACGCGGGTCGTTGACTGTGGTCGGTATTGGCTGCGCTTGGTATTTGTTGTCATCACTAGGCAAGAAAAGCTGAGAACCTGAGAGAAGTTTCAACCAGAAGTGAAATGAGGTCGTCTGTACTTTCCTGCACCCCGAACTTACGCAAATGCAGTATGTGCTATTCGTTTGTGGTGTAATGACTGTTGTGCATGCTTTAGTTAATCATTTTGTGAAGCGTTTTGCTTGATGTATCAAAAACACATGACAACCGTCAGTGTTAATCCCACCCCCTCCCCCCCCCATCCCTGAGTGCATCAGCGGTAAAAATTGCGCAGCTTTTGTGATTTTTAAAGAAGAGTCGACGCAAAATTGAACTTCTGATAACAGTTTGAAGTGTAGAATGACGATCGGTGTGTGCTGATGCGCTTAAACACCACATTGAGCACTGAATAATTGTTGTTATTCCTGTTATGTATCAGCCGCAATAGTGTGCCGGTTTGTGACACTGTCGGGCGGTGTTCCCAGACGAAGCTGGCGGCGCGCATATCGCCGCAGTGGAAGGAGATCGGCTTCCAGGGTGACGACCCCAAGACAGACTTCCGCGGCATGGGAATGCTCGGTCTCGACAACCTGCTGTAAGTGTTATCAATGTACCGGCAGTGTGTGCTGGGTCTGGGGGCGTACGGGTATGCGTCTTCGATGGTAGGACCAGGCGTGCAGCTGTTTGCACGTCCCTCTGTGTCTCGCTTTTATGGGTTTGGGTTCATTTGGTTCATCTATTTGGAAAGGCTCCGATTTCCTTTGCTTAAAAGCGCGCAGAATACAAACGTTGTCTTCAGTAATGTTGGCCATTTACTGGTCTGGCTGCCTTGGCTTGCGTGGTCGTCGTATGCCGCAGTAAATATGCTGCATACTGTAATGAAGCGGTCAGGACCATGGATCCAGGTTCTGCGCAGTTCCAAGATGTTGCATGTTTGCTTCCACGTCGCGCATGTGAGCTCAGCTCTGTGTCTTTAGGTCAGAACCTCTCCGTTTGACGCGGACACCTTGTTAGCTGGCCCACTCCCTTGAACACTGGCGTATTAAATATTCCCTTTTTCACTTTGAAAGGAAAGACATGGTCTCTTTCTCCCGCTCTCGCGCGCGCGTGTGAGCATTCTGATGACAAGAACGTTGCTGAACCAAATTACAGATAACGGTGAGCGATGACAATGTGCAGGTATATGATTTTATTCATATAACGGACAGATATTGACATCTGAAAAACACATAATATTGAGCTTCCGGCAAAAATGGAGCCCTGCATTATGGAAGTCTTCGGTGCATGGGCCAAGATAAGCGCTTGTACACAAACACCGTGGTTGGTCATGACGCATGTGGTAACGGCCAACTGTTTCGATCAAATCGCAGCTCCTCAGAATGACGCTCGTGCAACGTGGAAGCGGGTACAAAGAATGCATCACCCAGGTCGCATCGTCCTAAAGTCGCATCCCCGTGCGTTCTGGGGCTTGAACCCAACGTGCGCTCGCCGCCGATACTCAGTCCGTTGACGTTTCCCACCGTGACCGCTTTGTTGACGGTTCTGTTCCCCGAATGGTGGCTGGGTTACCGGTTACACAGCGACGGCGTGGTCGGTCGGGTACCGTGAACGAAATCGATCGCTAGCGTGAAGAGTACCCAGAACTCGCGCCTGCAGTCGGCGGTAGGCGCTGCCTCTCGTTGCCCCGATTATACGATTTCCCCGAGACCCGCTGTTGTTACAGTGGACCCGCGAGGATCGGCTCTCGAATCAGTTCATGGTGCTGTTGGTTATGACGGCAGGATTTCGGCGCTAATGCACACTTCTTCCCTGTGCAAGATTTTTTACGTGTGTATTTTTTCCAGAATATTGACGTCTATACGTCAGTGACCTGGCGAGTGTAGGGTGATTCGGTGACTCCAAAATAAGTATTCAGTTGAATCCATGCATACGTACAATGCTATATATTTACCATAAATAAGATATCCCAGTTTCTCCAGGAACTGGAATGCTACCTGTTGTTAAAAACCTTCATTTCATTTGTCGTCGTTACAGTCATCTCGTTACACGCTTTTGGTTAGCAGCTTGACAGTGCTGATTACGTGCAGTGACCCGGGCAACAAATAGTTTGTTCAGCAAACATCGCGTGATGTTTCGACCGCTGTGAGGACGAGTTGGCTGCCGACCAGTAACTCGTAGTTTTCTTGCGATCGACAGTATTGAAATGGGCCTGAAATCGTTACCCTGATGGCCGTCTTAAACTAGGCACGTAACAATAGCAATTCTCTCACGAACGGCAAACTTCCGAACATTTGCGAACTACTGACAAGTGCAACGAATGAGGTGCAATCGCAGAAAGAAGCGATCTGACCAAGTGTGCGGCAACTCCGCTTGCACCGGTGGCTTTTAACGTGACCAGACGTCTCGGCTCCTCAAATAGCGCAGGATGGGTCACAGCCTTCACGTGTATTAGGCCCGCACATACGCATGGGGGACGATGGGATGCGGTCATCACCTGCGCTTCAGCCGTGCTAGGCCCCTCAGACGCGACGCCTTTCGGCTGCTCCGCCCACGCCTAGTCAGTCTCACCAGTGGGGCTCGCCTTGGACTCACTGACTTGGCAGATAGTAGTATGATGCCAGTATACGCAGGCATGTTTCCAGCCGACGCTCTTCGGGTTGGTGGATGTTTGTTTCCAACGCGAGCAGTTGACGGTGGCGAGCCGTGTCGGCCGCTGACGACACTCCGCAGCTCACGGTCAGTCCTGCCAGCGGCTCGCATCGTTCGGGTCCTTTCTGGTCCGGATGGGATTCCCGTATTGGTCAGCTGCCTGAGGCCTTTATCTTGATTTGCCCAAGCCAGTGTGCGAACATTCCCCCGAATCAGAAGGTAAAGGCTCATTTGCGGGAAACTGTGCGTTATCATACCTCTTTCGGGGAAGAGGACTGTATAAACGGTTGAGACGTTCAGAGAAGTGTTTTTCACAGCGATTGTGCTTGGGCAACACAAATCAAACCACAGAGTTACACTGCCGTTATCTCGCTTTTGCCTGAACAGTCCACGCCAGTGAATACGTTGACCCTGCCATAACAGGTTGTTCGGCTTAGCGCATGCGCTACAAAATACTGCATATAACATCATCATACTGTATTTGCACAATCTCGTACAAGTAAAGGCTGTGCAAGTAATTGCAGTGGATGTGGCGACGCGTGTAAGTTTTTGAAATAAACATCTTGGCGCGTAGCGGTTATGTCGCTGATTCGTGTAAGGCTTGGCAGGAGAAGTAGTGTCGCGTTTGAGTTAAATGTGTGTACGTTTTTGCAGTAGAATTGATGTCGCGTATAAGTGATGTAGCACGCCTTTCGAAAGGAGTTTTTGCCGAAGCACTTATGTCTTGACACCTTGATTTGTTCTTGATATATCACTCATAAAAAGTCTGATTTATTATTGCATCAGAATCCTGACACTGGCCGATACGCGCCATTTCCGTGGCTGCAGTGGAACGGAGCCACGTTTTGAACCCAGCGGTGTTTCGCCTGTCCGTTCAGAAGACAGCGCACACCGTGGCCGCGTTACCGTCCGTCGGTCCGGCAACGATTGATCTTTTTGCAATGGTTACCCTGCGCCCTAGCAACGTATGCCCAATAAACCAGCCAGTGGGACGTGCACTGCCTGACACGGATTTGTGGTCCAGCCGGCGTGTATAACCATGGCTATCGTTGACTGCCGGCACCGGCCCTCATAGTGTTGTGTTTGCCAGAGGGTGTACGGCACCGCTGGTGCCCACGAAACCGGCGAGCACAGGAGCGCGCGAGCGACTCGCCCGGTGCACGTTACTGGCTCCACGGCTGAGACCCTCCCAGGCGCAGCTCGGCTCTATCTGTCAACGTCGGATCTCGTCCTCCGGGCAACATGCGAGAAGTGATCAGCATTCACATCGGCCAGGCGGGCGTGCAGATGGGCAACGCCTGCTGGGAGCTCTACTGTCTCGAGCACGGTATCACGCCCGACGGCCAGATGCCCTCCGACGCCACGCCCGACACGGCGGACGAAAGCTTCAACACCTTCTTCGCCGAGACGGGGGCCGGCAAGCACGTGCCTCGCGCCGTGTTTGTGGACCTGGAGCCGACCGTGGTGGACGAGGTGCGCACGGGCACCTACCGCCAGCTGTTCCGGCCCTCGCAGCTGCAGTCGGGCAAGGAGGACGCGGCCAACAACTACGCGCGTGGCCACTACACCATTGGCCGCGAGATGATCGATGCTACTATCGACTCGATCAGGAAGATGGCCAACGAGAGCTCTGGCCTGCAGGGCTTCCTGGTGTTTCACTCGTTCGGCGGCGGCACCGGCTCCGGCTTCACCTCGCTGCTGATGGAGCGCCTCTCCATCGACTACGGCAAGCTGTCCAAGCTATGCTTCTCCATCTACCCGGCGCCGCAGGTGGCCACGGCCGTGGTGGAGCCTTACAACTCGATCCTCTTCACGCACACCACGCTTGATCACATCGACGTCGAGTTCATGGTCGACAACGAGGCTATCTACCATCTGTCGCAGCAGCACCTGGACATTGAGCGGCCGACCTACACCAACCTGAACCGGCTGATCGGCCAGATCGTCTCATCCATCACCGCCTCGCTCCGCTTCGACGGCGCACTTAACGTCGACCTGAACGAGTTCCAGACCAACCTGGTGCCTTACCCGCGCATTCACTTCCCGCTGGTCACCTACGCGCCGGTCATCTCTGCCGAGAAGGCGCAGCACGAGACCATGTCCGTAGCGCAGATCACGGACGCCTGCTTCGAGCCGGCCAACCAGATGGTCAAGTGCGACCCGCGCAACGGCAAGTACATGGCCTGCTGCCTTCTGTACCGCGGCGACGTCGTGCCCAAGGACGTCAACGCCTCCATCGCTGCCGTCAAGGCCAAGCGCACCATCCAGTTCGTCGACTGGTGTCCGACCGGCTTCAAGGTGGGCATTAATTATCAGCCTCCGACGGTGGTGCCCGGCGGGGACCTGGCCAAGGTGCGACGTGCCGTCTGCATGCTCTCCAACACCACCGCCATCAAGGACGCCTGGGCTCGACTCGACCACAAGTTTGACCTCATGTACAACAAGCGTGCCTTCGTACACTGGTACGTGAGCGAGGGCATGGAGGAGGGCGAGTTCTCCGAGGGACGCGAGGACATCGCAGCCTTGGAGAAGGACTACGAGGAGGTGCAGTCGAGCTCCACCGAGGACTACGACGACAACGAGTACTAGAGGCTGCCGCCATCCGCCGTCTGTCGCAGGCGCGTCAGCGCGTCGCATCACGGAAGACACGGATGCACGAGGCTCAAGAGAACCAAAACGGCACCAACCGGTCCTGAACCCGTACAAGGCGGAACGGTTTGCGCCGGTCACAGTGCTCATAAGTTACAGCGAGAAGCTATAGCTCGGCGGCGGTCGTGTGTGTGGCGGCGCTGTGCAAACAAAATGGAAAAAGGGCTCAAGGATGGAATGCAGGTTTTGGCTTAGCGGCCGTTCTGATATTCTATGCTTGACGTGGAAGGCAAAAACAAAACAAAAAACAAAAAGTTATGATTTCCAGTGTCTTGATGACTCAGTTTGTGCTAGCTTTTCTGTGATACTGCTAAATGCCACTTGGAGCTCAGTGAGGACAGAACAGCTTTCGGAGATGTGTAAATGCGTGCTTGTTAGACGCGAAGCTCATTTTGATCGTGGCTTAGTACTTCAAATATCACTCTGCATACGCCAAGCACTACTCATGAACAGAACGCGACAACCACTAACCCTGTCATGCTCGTGTTTGAACATGGTTGGTAGGTAGGATAGGACGCTTGTGGGCAGTCGTAGACAAGGCTCTAGTCATTTCTAGTCTGACTTGTCGATGACCTCCGGTTTTGTATCTCTTGGAGGGCCATTGGGCAGCTAGAGGGCTGTGCACGAGTATGGAGGTTTAACTGACTGCAAAACGGTGCTTAGCGTCGTGCGATGTGATCAGGGGCATGCGATGAAAGGCACCGTGCACCCTTGTCTAACCTGTTTGACAATGGTTGCGTTTAATTCACATTTTTTCCAGCGGTAGCAAAACGCTTAAGGGTCTAGTATCCGTCAGCATAGATATGGTAGGTCACTTGTGACTAGAAGGGAAACGAACTTGGCAGGTTATGTGAGGCTTCTTATTGCTTATGTTTTTTCTCCCTTTCATTTAGCAAGTGGGATTGATGTAGTTTTGCGTTTGCATTGTTTAATTTTACTGTAATGTTTTGTCCTACGTGATCAAATATATCATTTAAAGGGAGTGTTGCACATTTGTATGCAGTTTTGAACTGAAATGGCCATCTTATAGATCACTGGGTGCAGTTCAGAGCCCTGCCATTCGTAGGACCTAAACCCCCTCTAGTCTCTGAGCTACACGCCTGCGAAGATGTGCAAAATATTTCGCGGATACTATTTCAAGGTCATCTAGGCGTCCGTGACGTCATAATGACGTCATTCATATAATTCCATTCTTTTAGCCGAGCGGCGATCTAAGGACAAGAAAAATGTAATTGTCGAATTGCTCATGTCTGGCATTCTTGAGCACGATCTCCAGATATAACGGCCTTCAATTGGTTCTCTGTGTTGTGCAAGGCACGATGACGCAAACAATGACGTATTGAGGAGCATATTTACTAAAGGGAAGAGCTGGGTTGTTGAGAACAGTCTGTTCCACTTTTAAGTATATCAAATGTTAGAAGTGAACTTATTTCATCATATTTTATGTTTGCTTGAATATCTTTAAAGGAAGTGTGTTTAGTTAACTGAGGATTTTTTACTGCACGTAGAATGGTAGGGAATTACAAATTTTGCTGTCACGTGTTTCTACAAATTCGCGTCCACTGACGAGGTATTGCCACAGCCTCCAAATATTCTTTGTTAGGTATGGAAGAATGAAGTTTTCGGGTAGCTCCCAAACAGTATTCACTACTAAGCACGTCGGGATCGTTGAGAAGGTGTGGTTAGCTCTAGCGAATGGCTTGTCGAGGATGTCGCTTGTCAGCGCTGACAGTAGCTTGCGAACGCGGCGATGGCGGTGGCCACTATGTTGATTATTTTGTGTGTTAACATTCAGCCAAGGGCTGCAAGTATGCGGGTCTACATGTATGGTAAGGCTGGTCAGTTTATACGCACCATTTCATGCCGGCTAACTATATACTGAGATAAGGAACAGGTATTGTGTCGTGCCAATCGGCTGCGCCAGGCTCTAGGGACAATGTGATTGTTCTTCGTTACCTAGCAACCAAAATAATGATCATGTCTAGCGTGCAGCTACTCGCCACATATAAGCCAGTGCATTCGTCCTTTCATGCCCGCTGATTGGGTTATCTTTTGGGTTTGTTTTTGTTCCCGCTCAGCCATCGATGGGATCGGTAGAAAGAAATAGATCAAAGTTGTTGCAAGACCCAAATGTACTAGATAATTTCCAAACTTTCCTTAGGCATGTATTGAGAAAACCGAAAATATTACACATGCTCCCTTTGAATGTGGAACATTCACTTTCAGGGTTGATGCACTCCCGTTTGTAGGGCAATTCGTAATGATTATAACTATCCTTCTATGCAATGTATCCCATAGGCGTTAGTCAGGTTCATCTCAGAACATAGTGTACTTACTTAGAAGGTTGGGTATACCCTGGTTCAGTTTTTCAATGAGTGTCAAAAGGGACGGTCCATCACGAATCGACTTGGATGAATCAGTCTGAGCTGTCCCAGTGTGGGCAAAGTGAATGTAAGCCGGATTGTTTTATTGTCACACGATATAACCTCGTTGTCATCCGAAAAAATCTTCAAAAAGCCCTGTCCTTGTCAGGGTTGGCAGAAGCCGCCTGAAATAGTTTATGCGGGCCGGTTTTGCCGGTTAAAACCAGCTGATGGCATAATTGTCAGAATCTGGCAGAAACACGGAACCGACTGTTTAATGTAATCTTTAGACCTAGTAGAAGACCACATTGTCCTGGGGGTTCTCGATCGGTGTAAGGGGCCCTCTGACCGGCATTTTGGGCCCAGCCTCACGGGCCGGGAGCCTTACTGTGGCCTACAGCGAGGATCTCGGCCCTCTAATCTGGCCCGCGATCGACTGTTTCCAGGGCTCCTCGGGCTCCTCACCCGTCCCTCTCGAACACTGCCCGTAACCGACTTGGGGCCTATTGTCAACGTAATATCCTCGGTTAGTCACTATTGGGGTCTAGTCAACTCGGACCCGACCAATGCGAATGGGGGCCCGGCTTTGCCCATGCTTGGGAAACATATCCTCACACCCAGACCTTCACGAAGCTGACTGTTTAGTGCGGGTGGTGCCTGACCGGCTAGAGGCCTTTGTCGACTCAGGGGCCCTCAGTGGTCGCAAAGGAGCCTCCGACTGGGATTTGAGGACACGGCCCTGCGGGCCAGGGTGCCCTTATAAAGACTTTCAGCCAGGTCTTCGGGCCCTTAATTGTCGGTCCCGAGAGTCCCTTCGTGCCTCTCGGGATCTAGGGGGTGGCACGTGCTCCCTGTTCTCCCCATGCTTGTTGCACTGTGACTGGTGCGCCGGACGTGAACGCTAGGTATCTGTGCATACACCACTCATTCCTGTGCATCTGCTGCTCCTTGTACATACCCGTGTTCTTGGTTTGGTGCCGGCGCTTACTGAGCTTCCAGGTGCCGCGTGTTATGTTGTTGGGTCACTGGGCTTACATCGATCACGGGACGCCCCGCAGATCAATAGCGTCAGGCCATGTAACGGCCGCGACGCGCGACCTGTGCACGACTGCAGCCAGCCGTCCGCTGCTGGGCGAACGGTCGATTTGTGCTGTGACAGCCGCAGGAGGGTTTTATGGCAGTCAAAATGTGCTGTTGACACTGCAGCAGATGTTCTCGCATAGTTGGTCGCTGCGCCTTTGACGAGGTTATATCAGAGTGGTTTACACGAATTGCTGTGGGTCCGAGCGCTTCGTAACTAGAGCTGGATGCGTCGAGCCTCCACTCGACTTTTTCAAAGTAAGTTCCATGAGGCCTTTGTAGCGGGCCATTATTGTCGTACCGCACAATGTGTGCTATGCCGCGGCTGCCAGGTGTTTGATCGTCTCCCGTTAGCCAGCTGTCAGGTAATCTGTCGGTGTATGTTGGCTAAGCAAGGCGCGCGCGGACAGCGTGATAACGCCCGAACCTCACGTAACTAAAATAACGCCGGCAGTCCTGCATTAAGAAGCTGGTGGGCAGCGACCTAACCATTTTTTGGAAATTAGTCGGTGCCAAATGCTTTATTCTCCATGCCGCTAATGTAATGGATGCATGGTCTCAGAAACAAAAATTTCCGCATGCTTCTGTAATCAGGCCAGTTTTGCTCAGTAGATGGTGGCGCTCCGGCCCAACCGTCTCCGTACAAATAGCTCACGCAGTCCAATCGCCGAAATAATCTGAATGATGGTTAAAATGGTCTGCAAGGAACTGAGTCTGGAAGCATTTTTTTTTTATACACACAGAGCGTGATAAATCCGAATAAAGTTCGTTGTCCTTTCCGTGATAAAGGGAAAGATCATAGGCTCGTAATTTGGCGGCACTGAACGCCAGCTCCATAACGTACGGATCATTAGACCCATCTGACGAAAAAGGCCAGCTGCCAATTGGCCAAAAATGGTTAGCGTGGCCCAGAACGGTCGCGCTGTAGTATTGTATGGTGTGTAGAGTCATCTGAAGTCCCCTCTGACATTGTATGCCATGTAGATCTGTCTGGAGTCCCGTCCGACATGACATGGCACGTGAGGTCATCCGGAGTCCCGACTGACATTACATGGCACGTGAGGTCATCCGAAGTCCCGTCTGACATTGTTCCGCATGCTGTGTCATCCGGGTCTGACTAAGGCTGACAAAAAGTCCAGAGCCGAAAGCATCCGTCGAACTGGAAGAGCACAACTTGGGGGATAAGTTGGGGTTCCCGTAATGACCTCTGCCCATCAAGTGCCTAAATCCCAAGGCTACCCACGGAGACAGCCCGAGATGCATGTCTAAAAATTAAAAAGTGATCCAAGGACATTGAATGGAATCGAAATCGGATGATTGCACAGTGGCATTGTGCTGGCATTCTCTGGATGTTAGCCGCGTTGAAGTAAATTTTCCAGCTTGAAGATATTGAAGCGAGCCTCAGATATGATGAAATAGGCTCACTTATAACTATTGGTATACTTTTAAGTGGAAATGACTGCTAGAGACAACGACCTTTTTGTACAAGCAAAAATGCTCTTCAATGCGGCATTGTTTTATTGCCGCATGGAAGGTTTGTATGGCCCTGCAATGCTGCCAAACTAGCCGTGCGACATTGCCACCCTTGCCCTCACATGTAGTACTTCCATTCGCCGAGAGATGGCAGTGGCGGTGATGGAAGTTTCCTTCGTTCCCACCGTTTCCTCATCCCAGCGCGGATTTCCTCCAATGCGTTCCTGCGTCACATACCTTTCATGCTTTCTTGAACAGTGCTGAACGTTATCCCGGAAGGTAACAAGCGATGTAATTTACACCGAGTACTCTGTAGCATTCATTAGTGTCAATCGCGTTCTTCCGCCACATAAGCTTCGCCATTCTTTTTTGCATCACTGACCGCGCGTATGGCTGACTGGAGTCGTACTTAGTAATCGTTCATAACGCGTAGTGCGGAACAGCAAACAGTTTGACTAGATTCCAGTGCGAGCTGGTATCCGGAAAGGCAGCATCCTGGACCGTTACTGTTCGCCCGCTTTCTGGCTGATTTTCCGGGACAAATTTGGAACTAGTGGAGTGCATGATGATGTGAAGATTTATTACCGAATTGACAGCATAGCAGATTGTCTCACACTTCAGGCGAATATTGGACATCCTCATGCGAAGCATGCACATGCTGTCGTGTCCTCGTCAAGCGCGGCCCAATCATAAGGTCTCGCTATGTGCCTTCAACGCTCATATAAGATCATTGATAGAGTACGACAACGTTATTTGGAGCGGTGCTGCCACTGTTCTGTCCCGGTGTCCCGGTGTCCTCCACTGGATTTTGAGTGTATTCTGGCTTATTCTTAAACACCAAGACATGCTTTACTCAGTCTGGCGCATTATTTCTTATGCAACGTATGTCATCAGAGGATTAACGGTCAACACGGCTAAAATAGATATTTCACACGTCGACCCATTTCCTGCAATCGTTTTCTACAACATTCTCTCAACCGACGTTTTCCAACCAATTAAGTCATATCGGTTTCATTTGTTCATGTTCGGCGGCACTCTTGGAGCGCTCTCTTGATGACCAATGTGTCCGAGTGTGTAACGTGTGTGTGTGACTGTGTATAATATGTTTGTGTGTGTTCGTGTGCGTTTAGCTTTTTGTTTGTACGTGTATCGTGTATTCACTGTTTTTTTAACTGGACTGCTTTCCCAGTCGGGTTTTCGCCTGTGGGTTACTTACGCCCTAAATAAACAAATAAAGGTACTCCAGACGCAACTAAGGCAATGATCATGTTTGTCTTGACCTTGGACACAACATGCTCATTGAGAAAGCGGAATTCGCCTGACGTGTCGTTGACAGCATACATCTCAGTGTGATTATAAAAAATACGCGATGGGAAGTCCGCACAAATTTACGTGCGTCTGGCTGAAAAACGAAAGTATTTGAAGTCTTGAAAAAGACATAATTTTAAACTGCAGGGAGTCGTCTGGAGCATAACCTAAAAAGATAAAAAGGGTCTAACTTTGAAGTGCATGGAATCGTCTTGATAATGGGTATATCAAACGCATACAAATGTGGAAGGGTGCCTATAAAGGCTGTGTGCAAATATATTATTTGTGTATGATTGTTTTTGGGAAATGTTATTTGTCGCCTTGTCTAGTCTGATTGAAAACCGTAAATTAAAAGATAACCGTAGATATTTGTGTAAACGTAAAAAACAACTTCTGACTGTTTTGGCGTGCCGCCTAATGTTGGTTAAATGAATAGGTAGAAATCAAGCATGATCCAGATGTGTGTCATGGGACTGGGTTTCACGTCACAAAGCTGTGCACAAACGTCTCAGATATATACCCTGGGACTGAAACTCACGTCTCAAAGCTGTGCACAAACGTCTGAGATGTACAACGTGGGACTGGGCTTCACGTCTCAAAGTTGTGCACAATGTCTGAGATGTATAACCTGAGACTGGGCTTCACGTTTCAAAGCTGTGCACAAACGTCTCAGATATATACCCTGGGACTGAGCCTCACGTCTCAAAGCTGTGCACGAACGTCTCAGATATATACCCTGGGACTGGGCTTCACGTCTCAAAGCTGTGCACAAACGTCTCAGATATATACCCCGGGACTGAGCCTCCCGTCTCAAAGCTGTGCACAACGTCTGAGATGTATAACCTGGGACTGGGCTTCGCGTCTCAAAGCTGTGCACAAACGTCTGAGATATATAACCTGGGACTGGGGCCTCACGTCTCAAAGCTATACACAAAGATATCAGATGTATATCCTGGGAATTGGGGCTCACATTTAGAAAATGCACTTAAAAGGTGCACACTGCGTACCCGTTTCTCAGTCCGATCCTCGTGCGTTAATTTCAAGGACAATAAGCACATATTTGGCATGTCGATGCGTAAATGTTACCAACGCTTCCAGTGAGGAGTGCCGGTAAATGCCCCGTATTATCGGGCGAGGATTGCACGGAAAGCGCTACGGCGTAGCATGTAGCACCGTGCAACACTGTGGCATTGGTGCGGGTCAGAGGCGTCGTAGAAATGTGCTTTTTATATGCGAATGGCCCCTAATTTATGGAATGGTCCCAACAACAAGCAAGCCACCACTAGTTGCCAACAAAGGTGTCGCAGTGAGGGATAACGTTCACACGTATCCCGGCATCAAAATAGCCTCTGGCATCAAACTTGATGAACAACCAAGTGGTCGTTATCTCACACCGAAAGCAAACAATTGGGGAGCAGAGCATAGATCATAAGCTGCGTTGTTGTCGTCCACTGAATATTACAGCTTTTTGAATATTTGCATTCTTTCATGTTTTGCTGCTTAAAAGGGACTGGAAGTGGAATTGTGTTGAGGATTGCAGTCAATCGCTACAGGAAGGCTGAATGGGACTGAAAGTGCATTTTCAAGACAGCACCAGAGCTGCACGTTTATCAGCGTCAAAAGAATTAATCCATGTTTGGCGTGCGGCTGTTCCTATGGTCAGGTTAGCCTGTGGTACGGCTCAGCCCACTGGCTGGGTGCAGTTGTTATCTGTATGCCTGAGAGTGATTCATCATCTGTCACCGGAATCCCCGAGCCTGACCGCGGCAGGGCGTTTTGCAATGGTCGGCTTCTGCGATCTCTTGTCTGTCGGAACAGCAGTTTATCACTGCTGATGTCAGCGCAGCCACATCGTGCAAGTAGAGCGTGACTTGGTCTATCAGAGATCTGCAGGCAGACAGGGACCTCGTTGCATGTCCACTGAACTGGCTGTGCTTAGTCCCATTCAGTATAGTTCTTTGTTTTGAGCGAGGCCGGAGACCGAGCGAGTGCTGGCCCTAGTGCGTGTGCGGCGCCGAAAGGTGCAGTGACATACGGAGGTCAGGTTTTGCCCCCCCCCCCCCCGTCTGATTTCCACAGAAACTGGGCAGATTTTTCTGGTGCACTTCTATCCATTCGACAAGACGTAAAATACAATTACATTTTTACAACTACACTAGCATTTTTGTAGCTAACATTTTACCAAATCGAATGATTTGGAAAGGAGGTTGTATGGGCAAATAGGAGGTTGTACAGTGGTTTTGATCCGAGTCATTGCTGTTGGGAAGATGGCCGATTTGCATATCAGTGCGTAGTTCAATGGGCAATGGGCGCCTGCTGTACATGCCGGGAGCTGTGTTGATGACTGAAGAATGTTGAGCATATCCAAACGGTGCAAACAGGAGGGGTGATTCTGGCAGAGCTTGAATTTGGAATTTGTCATGACTTTTTCTGTTTACTGGCATTAACATAGAATTAATTATTACGATGGCATCATACTAACATGTAAAAGATACCGCGTACACAGTCGTGAGGACTTATATTTTAGATATAGATGATGTGTCGGGTATATCCTAGAATGCATTGACGTTGTGGTAGGTGGATTCAAGTGAGTTTTGTAGTTTTAGCAAGAACATGGGGAAAACCTCCCAATGGGTTTTTCGTGGCGCTGCAGCATGTTTCATTGAAATACCCAATTTATGTTTTGTTCAAACGCACATACCATAGCACACGCGCCCATGGTGTCAAAAGTGGGAAGTGGCGGCGACATGTACAGAAATTGAGAGTGAGGGAAGTCCAGTTATGTATCACAGGCAGTTTTCCCCCCTTCCGTACCCTGAAACCATCTCTTCAAAACACAAAATAGTGCTTTCTTCAGTACGCGTTCTGTAAGTGTGCGTTCCACGTTTTGTCAGGCTGACACCATCGTTGTCATGCGATTGTGGTATTTGACTTGACATTGCGCCGCATCTGACGGATATTTCCTAGGCGCACTACGGCTAGGTGAGATGAACGCCGACCTTTTAAGATACATCCTGCAATGACGGATGTCACGTACCAGCGGGGTCGGGTTCTCATGAAATTTATTGGGGGGGGGGGGGGCTTTTGTCGATCTGTTGGTGGCTTAGGGCCAATGTCTGGCAAATTGGGGCGGCCCAGACCACTTTAAAGGGATACAAAGCAGCGGCACAGCAGCATCGTGCTGCAGCCCTCTGACGGTGGCGGGGCAGCGGTTGTCCGCCTGTGAGGCGGTGCTTCCCTGGCCGTGAATCAGCAGAGTCCCGTGACCGGTCGTCCCCCCCCCCCCTCCCCCCTGTTGTGTCGGGTAGCCGTCACCTGACCCTCCCCTCTCTTCCCGCGCCGGGGCTCATCAGCGTGACTGGGCGGAAACCGGCGGAGGCGACCGTGCGGATGCCGCAGCCATCTGGCGTCGCCGCGCACCGCAGCGCCATGTGACGCTTCTAGCCCCCCCCCCCCCCCTCCCCCCTCCTACACACTTGCTCCGACTTGTCCCTTGCAGACTGGTGTGCTCAGATCCAATCCTGATATGTGCGATATGTGGCGTGACTTCGTGATTGCAGAACTCGTTTGTTAAATAAACAACAGATTCAGACCAATATTCGCGACTTATGGTCTGCTTCGGGTCTGTAATAGGCCACGCTGAGTTCAGCGCTTGTGCTTGTCGTGTTGAGGTCATTATATATGCTAACGCAAGTTTGCGCGAAAGTCGAAGGAGTGAACTTTTAGCGACATGACCTGAGGACTGCTAAAACCCGTTGCTGTGTAACAGGAATGCGACCTATAAGAAGTTGCGCGCCGGTCCCAATTTCGGCTCCCATTGCTGTCAGGCCACGCTACCTGTGGGTGTATATTTTCCGGCCAATCAAAAGTTCACTGTCGGGCGAACAACGATAAGCACATGAATGCGCATGCTGCCAACTTCGAGTCTGGAAAAGCCAAAACACCGTTCCGGTTGTGAGAATATTGACCATGAGTGAGAGCTGTCAGATGTCAGTGTGTTTAGCAGTCGGCTATTGCCTCCCCGTACCTCCCCCGCGGCTAGTGGCTACATACTGCGGTCGATTTGACATCAACGGTCTCCACAACCATCCCTTTTTAAATTGTCGTGAAGTTCTTGCAGGGGGGGGGGGAGGACATGTATTTGGTTTCGTGGAGGTTCTCGGATACCGAGACCGGAGACAGGCACAGAAACAGAGGCCGGACGAGACCGAGACGCGCAATCTCGGAGGGCGCAATCTGTACAGATAGTTCCTTAAAATAAGCGCTATGGCCGCTGAGTTGAAAGGCACAGCTCTTTTGGACCACGAAGACAAGGAAATCAGCCGATGGTGTGGACATCGGTGCAAGGGAATCAGTCTGTGACCTGTACAACGGTACAAGGGAATCATTCCGTGACTCGGACGTCGGTGCGAGGGAACCAGTCGTGCAATCTGTCGGTGGCTATGGGTCTGGGAGAATATATGGAGAAATGTGTAAATGCTGCTTCTATAATCCGCTTTGATGGTGAAAACATCACTGCTGGCGATAATGGCCACCACCACGTGTGCAAGCTTCATACGTGACATCACTGAGTGTCCTACGACCGCTCTTGCCTCCTATTCTCAAAGGCAGTCGAAGTGACATTTTGTCGGCAGCCTGGCTTAGCGTCCCCATCCAGTCCCCGCGCTGGTGTAAAGGTGCCCTGTAGATGCTGACGTGCGTGTAAACCCCGAGCAACAACCTATGCGCTGGCCCCGTTGCTGGCTGAGCGGCGAGCTGAGTTGACGCCTTTACCGCTGCCTCTGCCGCAGGTTCTTCAGCCAGCGTTACACGACGGTGGCGCGACACGTGCTGTTGCACTCACATCACCCGACCTTCGGCTACTCTTTTGCCATCGTAGGCATCAATCTGACGCACCTGGCGCTGGAGCTGGTGCGCAGCGGGCAGGCGCGTGCCCATTTCTACAACGTTTGCCAGCGGCACGTCACCGTCGAGACGTTCCACAGGTTCTACTGCTACCTCTTCTACAAGTTCGACGCCTTCTGGCTGGCGGCCAAGCCGCGGGACATTATGGAGTTTGGGAGGATTCGAGACAGGTTTGCGGACACGATGCGCCAGGCTTTGAAAGATGACAACGTCAAACTGAATATGAAACTGGTGGTGCAGAACGTTTGAGCAGTTCTGTTTGTGCGTTTGGGGGAGAGGGTCGATATGTCCCCATGCCACCGTCTTACTGTTCGCTTGGTCTCTGTGCTGCTACGTAGCGCGGTGCCGTCGTGTGGTCTATCCCAAAATGCCCAGTTTAGGGCCTCCAGTTTTGTTCAGTCACTAGCGCTCTGTGATGGTCATCAGCAAGGTTTAGCCCAATGGGATGGAACGAGCGTAGAGCTCTCGGGAACGTGCACTGGCGTGACCTCGTTGGAACCCACTGCCATGATGGCTTTGAAGGCAGCCTTGTCTGAACGGTCGCGGCTCGACGCCGCTCGGCCCGTATCAGTGGTGTGATCGGCCCGTATCAGCGGTGTGTGCGGACGCGGCCGACCGTGGACTCTGCTCTTCGAACGGTCTTTTATCAGCTCGAGTGTCTATTTGTTCTTTGGTTTGGTCGGCGATGCCCGTTTCCGTGGAGCTCGAGTCCGATCGCTGTCTTCACCCGCTGTAGCCACGGCCGGCGTGGTCTCCAGCTCTGGCGTCCTCAAACCGGGAGCGCGCAGGTCATTTAGGCACGCGCAAAATGCGGTTTTTACCCCAACAAGATCACTTTATCTCTTAGTAATGATGATGGCTCTGGCACATTGAAACGAGGCGTAGTGATAATTGGGTAGAATCTCCGCCGAACCGTTGCGTCATTTTGTGAGTATGTTTGTGTGCCCTGTCTAGTCAACTGTGTTACGTTAGGCGATGCCAGTCAACTCTTGTGATACACACTGTGCACATATCAAGGATGTCACGGACGCTGCGAACGCCGTTCAGTTTCCCGTTTTGTGGCGACCTCAGGTGCTGTTTGTCACTAGGGAGGGGCACCGACCGCGCTAGTTCCATTATTTGAGGGTACATTATTTGTCCATGATTTGCTCGCTGGCGTGGGTGAGTGGAAGTAGCGATAAAAATTGTGAATCAAACGAAATAAAACAACATGCTTCGGCTCCTTTCGTGTGACGGGCTTGAGTCCGGCGCTTTTATTTACGCTCTTCATCGTACCTCGTGACCCTCAGCCACGACCTTTGGGCGTGTGTGGCACGGCGCTGTATCGCAGACTGACCTTGCTCTGTATTAAGCACTCGTGGTCGTCTTTGACACGACGCCGTATTGCGGCCTGACCTCGGTCTCGAGTGAACACTCGTGATGGGCAGGATAAAATTGCGATAATCTTTCGTCGAGAATTTGGAGGCCGCCGACGAAACGCGAGGTTTTGATGCCTTAAAGTTGAGCTTTCTCAATGCATTATGTTCAGACTTGCACTGTGCTTTGTGACTTCCCCTCAGCATTGCGAAAAAAAATGGGCCATATCCGGCAAAAACATATTTGCTGGCGTATGTTGGGGGTAAATTGACGCATTTTCACTGTTCAGCGCCTCCCCTTCACTCCATACACAATTATTTTGCGAAATTACGCCCCTGAGGTTGGCCACTGTACGGTGTCGTATCGTATCGGCCGCTGTTCTCCAATTCGTACCAGCGTTCCATCCATGATTACAATCCGTGGGATTAGGGGCGACCGGTCTGTGTATAGGTCATCATTTATTCAACATGACCTTTGGGCTCTGTTATATTTAATGTTCGAAAGGCATGCGCCACGCTTATTCTCCCAGTTTTCTGTGATGTTTTGCTAAACCTGTCGGGAATGCGTTTGGCGACCCTCTGCGTTAAGTTACGGAAATTGTCCTGTTTCCGTATTCTGGTTAATGTTGCAACGCCATCGTTGTTTAGAGTTCCGGTAAAATCCTTTAAAAGCCCGGTACAGGCGATGACCTGTCATGCATTATACCATCCAGAGATTTTTCTGTCGCCGCTTGTGACTATCGTAATCCCGTCGATCGCCGTGTTAGCCTGATCGATTGTGTTTGCAGCACATCTGTCTGCTTAATACTCTTGCTGTTACATCAAGTAAAGACGTCTTTCGACGTGTCAGCCACCGTGCCCTAAAAAATCATGCCTGTTTACCGTTGTCGTCCCCAATGTCTTTAACACTACTTTTTTGTCTCAGAACATGCGGTAACCTCGTCGTCCGGAATATCAGACATGTTTGCCTCGGATTTCTGTACCGGCGACATTGGATAAGTTCGTTATTCCCTCCTCGGGATTCGCAGTTGCCTCATTTTTTATCGATAGCAGGCCCGCTAAGGCTATCAGTGTTGAACCGTATATTCTTGACTGCAATCTCAAATCCCAATGAAATACAAATATGCCGGGAACTCATGTGTCGGATACATGGCGTTCAGGCGAGTTTCGGAATTTGTACTATAATTTTTTTCCTTCTAATTTTTATATTTGGTGTGTAATTTGTCATCTCATCTGATATCCTAAGTTAAGAGGGTGTAGGTGTCTGTCTGCATATGTGCCCGTTTCTTTGGCCAGATGCGTTGCACGGGTGAACGCACGGGTTACCTGAAATAAGCACACGACGAGTGTAATCTTCTCGGCGATTTCCGATATAAATTCATACGGGTCCAATACCGGTGTCGGTTAGAGGTCGTGAGAGAGTGGAGCGTGTTTTGGCAAACAGTGGGGAGACGTTTTTCGTCTGTGTAAGTGAAACAAGAAATTCGAAGTCCAAGCCGTCGAAAACTGCTGCAAGGCTCGATTTCCGTGAAATTCGGTCGCGTGGCAGGTTTTTCTATAGTAATGATCTATGACACAAATACACGCGTATCTGGCGCCAAGTTCGGCTACAGTGCGCGCAAGAACGGCGTATTTTGGGGCTACCTCGGGGGACAGTTCCATAGATGAAGGGCGAAACAAGTTGTGCAAAGGCTAAACGAAGGCCCTACAACAACGGCTAAGCCATAGAGAACATGCCGCAAAGCTCGAGTAGTGCTGAATATAGCGTCTCCACTCCCAGGAGAATGTTGCTTGACGCAAGCGTGGAAAGCTTAGCAAAAACTGTTCGCGGCACGCCGTGCATCACTGGCTTGCGAACCAGTGGTATGTGGATTGAGGTAGTGCTACACCGGTGCGAACGGTAATGCGAACTATCCACGGAGTGGGAGCCATACCGAAATTATAACCATTAAGTGATCTGAGCGCATGGAATGGCATCACACTAACAGTGTGTCTTAGTGATTCATGGGTGTTAAATAGTTCAAAAATGTTAGCTGAGACCCACTTCATATTATTGAGACATGAGCCACTGTCATGTTGGTGTGAGCGCTGCGGGCACCGATTACATGGCCTCTTCGGGCATCGATACGTCCGGGAACCATTTGTTCTTTCCAATATGCTAAATTAAGGGCCCGTGTCGGTGTGTCTGTCTGTTTTCATGTGCGCATTTTTTCGCCAGATGCACGACACAGACAGGTCCACGGATTATCGTGGAGTTTGCAAAGGCGACGGGCCCAACCCTTGCCACAGCCCACGACATAAATTCATGCAGGTCTGTCACGGGTTTCGAATACAGCGCCCGCGGGGAGTGGGCTTATTTTACATTGTGCATTTATCAGGAATATGCTTCGCATGTGTGGTAGAAACAGACTGCACAAAGGCCAAGCTGTCGAAAACACAGTTTGTTCATGCAGCTGCGAGGAACATGACACACGGAGGAGCCGTACTAGTGTCTTTATTCCGGACGGCATTTAATAACTAGGAGAAAAGAGTGATGTTTCGATATTTCGGCTACAAACCTCTGTTGAAACAAATATGAGCAGTAGATTCAAAACTGCCTGCCAATTCCACTTGACTTTTAATTGTATTTTTGTAGGATTCCGCTGAGGAGGTCCAACAGGTAGCCCCCACCCAACCTCCCCCCCCCCCCCCTACATTTCAGCATGAAGCTTGTCAACGTCTTCCATAGCCTCCCAATAGTTTACGTCTCATAGTTTAGTTTACATACCCAATAGTTTACGTCAGACCCTCGAATCACCCGTACGCAAAGAATATCCACGTACTACTTGTGCAAAGGTTTACACCCCAAGCATTAAAGAACATTCGCCAAAAAAGTTAACCGCCTCAAACTTAATAGGCGGGATTTTGACAGATTTTTACCATTCCCTTCGTTGTTTTTGATGAGAACGAAGCCCGTAATCCGTCAACAAAGAATTGGATCTGTTTTTAAACGGATTAAGTACTGAACGGGTTCGTGCCCGCCTTGGTGCAAGTGCAGCCAAACGAATTGTGCCTGGCAGCCTTGCTCTTGACAAGCCACCTGCCAATGTGGCAGGTGTCCTTGGGAGAGGACGCCAGCCATCTGTAATGCACAGACGAGCTTTTCACGGCTCATCAAGTCCGTCAGGGACTTCAGGACTTGTCAAAGTCCGGCCTGGAACCCTCCACGTCTTCTTGGACTTCGCCTACCTTCACGTGAACCAAGACCGATTATTGGCAATGCTCCTTGTTGACAGGGCGGAGGGGCATGCGGGACTCGCATTTCAGCGCGTTGAGAGCCGGTGAGGTGTCAGGTGGCCAGGCTTCCAGTCCTGCCCCCATGCCGAGTGCGACACAAGTCATTCATGCCAGTTGCATGTCATTCATGCTAATTACAAAGCGCCAAGCGTCCATGCCAGTTGTGTTAACCCTCTGCAATAAAACAGGGTCATATCTTGGTATACGGTCCCAGGACATCCCCAGTACCTAAGTAGATTATGTGCCACCACCAGCCAAGCGAATCTCGGAGAGGGTCTCACCAGTTTCCGAAAACTGCATTTGATGCGTTTATATTTATGTCAATATTTTCATTAGAGCGGGGCTCAGACACAAATCATCAATATCAACTGGATGCTTAACCCCTGCAGAAGAACAGGGCCATCTCTCCGCGTGGCATCGAAGAGATCTGTAAAATATTTTTTTTTTTAAAGTCACGAATGATGCACAGGCCAGACCAAATGGTAGCCAAATCGAAACCATTGAGCCTTCCACAAAGAACAGCAAATATAGTTTACCTTCCTTTCACGCACAACATTCTTGTGTAAGACAGACTTTGGATCAGCTTCAGCTAGCCAACAACCGATCAACACATTGGGGAATCTTATAGCCAACGCTGATAAACAGTGAAGTAAGATTTCACCAGCTGCAAGAAGCTCGTTGAGATTCGTGCTCGAACCATCAGCTGCGGAGCCGTCAAACGATTCGTGATTTACCGTTACGATTGATGTATGTGTGCGATAGGAAAAAGCACGGAAAGACCTTGTGTGTTGTACGGGCTGAAGAGTAATGCAGGAGGACCGGAAACGTTATTCACTCAAATGCGTTTTTATTCATTGCTTTTCACGCATTTCCGCTAGGGGTTAGTCGGATCACAATCGTTCTCTACAAACTCAGACACCAATGAAAGAATGCATTGTGGTGAACATTTATCATGTTTGTGCCAAAACAAAACGCATATTTTTATATTTAAAGGGGAATCGGGGTCCCCTTTGCGAGCGCCAGTCCCAAAATAACCACCCATGCGAAGTCCACGCGTAAAGAAGCCTAAGGTTTGGTTGACGAGTCGTGCTAAACGTGGCGTTTGCGGATTTTGATCGGGCTTCCTTGGTTTGCGAAAACCGTGATAGTGTCCGATGTTGGTAAGGCCCCATGTATATGCTGCCCCCTCCCGCCGTGTCAATGCGACCCCTGCCTCTTCCAAACTAAGAAGCATAGAGCCTAGGAGTAAGCATCAATGGATCGGTCTCAATAGGATCGCGCGATGGTTAAAAGGTTTTGTTCTCAGCTCAGAAATAGATCCCATTATGTTAGGTCAAAGGTCAAATGTTCTGGAAAATCGTTCTTTTTCAGCTTCATACACTCACATGTGCGATGTCATGCTTCACAGTGACACGACACAGGCGTCTTCCTTGTTCAATTCTGAGGACGGTGGTGCGTAGTTGTATGCGTTAGCGCACATAGTTTTGATACATGACTCTACTATCGCAACAGTGCCGGCCCGCCGCCCGCGGTCCTTGAAATCGTCTTGTTGCCGCACGCCGCCCTCGCCGGCCGTAGATCGCCGTGCAGTGTTCTCAAAAACCTCCGCTGCTCCGAAACCAGGAATGCCAGGGATACGTTTTTTTGTGTCAAAACACGCGCAATGATGCCGCCTTTCGTAACTGACAATTTGGGCGCGATTTCACGACATGCCGAGGAGGTATCCTTAGGACAACTCGTGGGGAGCGGGTCGCACTGACAAACCTCCCCCCCCCCCCCCCCGCTATCAGGGCGAGGGTTAAGACGAACGCATTCTTGTGGTTCCTGATTGTCACCTGAGCTGCATAACACGTCCTCAGCGGTATATTCTCACAAAATGAGTTGAGGGGGGATGAACAGTGAAAAATGACCCAACCTTTCTCCAAAAAGCCAAAAAGGCGGATTCTCTTCGAATTTGGGCCACTTTCTTTCCCAATTTGTGGGGTGGGGGCGCTGGAGTTGAGGCGGTGACACGGGTTTTGAGTTGGGGGCATAACTTTCCTGGGGGTTTCCTGGACAAAATGGGGCCTCCTAATCTAGAGCAGTATGGTTATATATATATATATATATATATATATATATATATATATATATATATATATATATATGGATCAAAGGCTTTCTGGGCCCAATATATATATATACGGATCTCTTGATGCGGCGAAGGCGGTCCTAATTTTCGTGCCATACGTTTAGCTGCAATGTTTGTATATATCATATACAGGGCCTCCTGAGGCAGCAAAGGGGCTTCCCTTACACAGCATTGGTCTTCGTGATGTAGAGCATTACCTTCTTTTATTATAGAGTTGGCCTGAAGACCTAGGAAACGGATCTTTTGATGGATCAAAGGCTTTCTGGGCCCAATTTAATACTCGCTAGCTCGTTTTAGGGGCCACTTTGATCTTAATCTTCGTACCCTACGTTTAGCCGCGGTTCTTGTGGCTGGGAAAATGAGCTTCCACATTTTTTTACAGGGAGCAAAAAACATACTCCAATGTTTACTACAAAGTTTGTTACAAGGTTTGTTACTACCAGGTTTACTACAAAGTTTGTTACAAGGTTTGTTACTACCAGGTTTACTACAAAGTTTGTTACAAGGTTTGTTACTACCAGGTTTACTACATGCTCAAAAAAACATTCTTGAGGACAACTGTCCCTCTGCTCCCCCCCCCCTCCCTCCTGCTGAGGCCGCCTTTGGGCTGAAGCCCTTCCCTCAGTTGAGCAGAAAACTACGACTCTGCACGTCCTCAATCAGCACTTACCCGACACGTGTACACACGGCCGAAGTGCCCCGCACTCGACCCGGCCGGCTCGTCCAATCGCCTGCGGGCAGATTGCGACAGCCAATGGGAGTCGAGGTGATTACGTAAGTCTGGGCACCATAAATACGGCGCCCGGCCTCTGGCGCCCCAGTCTGTTCCGCGTCGTCAGTGTACGTCCGAACAGCTGGTCCGTGTTCGTTTTCAGCTGTTCAGCCTGCTCGTAGCCCGTCTACTCAAGATTCATCATGGCGAACATCAGTCAGTGCCGTCAGAACTTCCATGAGGAGTCCGAGGCTGGGATCAACAAGCAGATCAACATGGAGCTGTTTGCCAGCTACACGTACTTGTCCATGGTGAGACTGCTCCCGTACTTTTTGCCGAGTGCTATACTGTCCTACAATCTGGCCCCACCCGCCAGCGTGATTGACACGTTCAAGCGGCCGAAATTGCTATTCAAAGGTGGGGATGTATTACTCAATTTATCCTGCTCCCTACTAGTGTGATAAAGCTGCCGGTTCCGCTCGTGTCGAGCGATAGTTATGGGCGTTCACATTCAATATTGCTTACGTCACTGCCCCACGGCTTTTCTTGGCAGCCAAAACTTGTTTGGCCGCGTCGCTGGTGGCGCCGCCTGGCCATGCGGCAGCAATGGCGGTGGATCGATGCACACAGACGCGTCGACCTTGGCCGGCTTCTCCGCAGTTGCCGCACGTGGCCGGGGCTGCGTAATTCTGTCAAAGATGGGGAAGGCTGATGGCCATGGGTCGTGTTCAAGGCCCCATGCCTGCTGCCGGAAGTAGTTCCGGCAGGTTCTGCCGCGTTGAAGGTGCGCCAAGGCGTCGGCTGGATAAAGGGCCGGAATCAAAAGCTTATATGCCATGCATACGTAGTAGTATTGCCAACCTCGGGCGCTGGTCTGCTCATGAAAAGGGGTTGGCGGCGACAAGGTGATGATTTATGGGCGAGTTTCCACTTTACTGGGAATATACGAATGGCACATCGCATGCGTTGACGCTCCCGGTGGCCACTGTAAACTGCTACTGACGCTCGCCCCGGCGGTTCGTCCGTCCGCAGGCCTACTACTTCGACCGGGACGACGTGGCCTTCCCGGGCTTCTATGCCTACTTCAAGAAGCAGTCTGATGAGGAGCGCGAGCACGCGCAGAAGCTGATGAAGTTTCAGAACCAGCGCGGCGGCCGGGTGGTGCTGCAGGACGTCATGAAACCGGCCCAGGACGCCTGGGGCAGCCCACTGGAGGCCGTGCAGGCGGCGCTCGAGCTGGAGAAGACTGTGAATCAGTCGCTGCTCAACCTGCACAAGGTCGCCGACTCGCACACTGACCCGCAGATGTGCGACTTCATTGAGACCGAGTTCCTCACCGAACAGGTACGATAACTCCCTCCGCACGCTGGATAACCTCCCCAAGAGATATCGCGTTCTGGGTCGTGGTGTTTATCCGCGGCGCCTTGGCCCTGACTAATAACGATTGGCTATCTCTAAGACAGATGTCCGGTGTGAACTCTTTAGTTTGTTTTAGATGAGGTTAAGACGTTTCTGTGTATATTTAACAAGCGGTTTTTTTATTCCCCGACTTTTTCGGGGGATATTTCTACCAAAAAAGCTCTTCTTGTGTTATCCAATGACTGCTGCTATTTTACGTCACTTCCAGGTGATCTTGCTCACCGTAGCATTTCTCGTAGCAGAAATGCCGCCAGGTTTGCGAGAACACTCTATGTCGCCTCGTGCCCACATTGCACTTTTCCACTCACCATGAGAAGCACGGTTGTAGTTTCCTATCCGTTCAGAAAGAGGAAAATTATCAAGTCGTGCGAGAGTCATCAATATTGTCACCATCACGGGTTGTCACCCTCGCGACCCCGCGCGCTGCCTGCGCGGGGTCATCCACTGCCACCCTGACTCACACGCTGTCTCGCCCCAGGTGGAGGCCATCAAGGAGCTGGGCGACATGATCACTCGCATGCAGCGTGCCGGGCCCAACCTGGGCGAGTACATCTTCGACCGCGACATGAAGTAGGCGTGCGGCCCGTGCTGGCGGCAGGCGGCGACCATGTCCGGCGCGGCCGGGGGACCGCGGGCAGCGGTCCCGGCCGTCCGTCCGGCCCAACCCACCCGACCCAGACGAATGTTCCGCCAGTCGCAGGAATATACTGGGCTAGCTGACGGGCTTGTTTGTGCGCTTTGGAGAGGGGATAGAATGACAGAAATGCGAGATACCACAGAGATTCTGCGGCCAGCTTGGGACAGCAGACTACGGTCTGTCAAAGTGGGCACCACTGCGATTTGAAGCCCCGCACTCGACAGGAGCTCCAATGAATCAACGTAATCAACGGTCTGGTCTGCGGAAAGAACAACGCTGGTTGCGTGCGGAAAAGAAAATGAACCTGGCGGATGAGCCGCTGCCCGTCAGCTTGGATACTTATGGATCAGTATTGGCTTGTGAAGTGCGGCGCCGAACAGTAATCTCAAATATGGCAGCATAATGGCAGCGATATGGTAGTGGGGTCGTCTGAGCGAGAATCCGCAAACGTGGCACACACGTCTTCTGCGAGGTTGAGGGAGAGAAGGCACATTTCAGAACGCGGAGGCTTTTCTTCTTCCGTAAGATATTAACGCGACATCCGATTTTTATTTAAAGGGATCCGGTGGACGTACAGGGTGGAGTTGGATATAACGTTCCAACTTGAAGGGATCCGATGGACGTACAGGGTGGAGTTGGATATAACGTTCTAACTTGAAAGGTATTCAGATTCAGACATTCGCGGGCCAACCGGATGCGCCGAAAAATGCTCTAAAGCAACACAGGTTATCAGGAAGAAGAAAAAAATGTACTAACCCACCAACATTGAAACGTGCTGGGGGATCAATTTCCCCCACCCCCGGAGCTTTTCCAGAATTTTTTCCAATGGCGGCGTAGCCGCGCGAAACTTTGCACAGCTGTCGGCAATCGATTAGCATGGTTTGTGTTGCACACAATTTTCATGCACCGTGCGAGGTCCCCGAGTTATGGCAAGTCGAGGTCAGGCGGTGGCCGTCAGCGAAGACATTTTCTACAAAATCGTCAATCTGATATGGCCACCGGCTCTTGGACGGAGACGCGCGTCCCGACGGCAGTTTTTAGGTGGCAAAATAAACGAATTTGGGGTCGAGACCAATCTTAAACAGTCATCCCAACAAATCTCAACTAATCTGCTTTTTTACCGGACAGCTTGCGGTGTGGGGGTGTTTCTGGTGTACATCTCGAAGTGATGGATAACTGAGACCTGGTCAGACACCCCCCACGGACTGAGTATATGGGGGGGAGGGGGCAGGAAGGTCGAGAGCCCTCTCATAAGGGGCTTTCTTGATCGGAATTTCGGTAATGTACGGGAGGTGTAGGGCCTTCGAGTAAGGAAAAAAGAACACAAAGACTCGGGCACTGATCGTGCCTCGGTGGGAAAAACTGCGCCAGCACTGCTGCTGGTCACCAGCACGCAAACGTTTCCACACCGTCTTGAGCTGATGGAACCACCATCAGCAGCAGACCACCGGGGTCGCAACGGCAGCGGAAGCAACAACCCTCGACCAGTGCCGCACGCACAGCTGGCCGGTGGCGGTGATCCCGCGGCTCTGGCGTGGTACGACTTCGACCGGATTTGTACCGCTGCCTCAAAAAGGCATAAAATTACCCTTGCTCCAACACTGCTGGAGAAAGTCGTTGTTTGTGTGCATTATTGGCCGACACGTCGCAGTTATTACATAACTCGCTATGGAAAATCAAGCCGGAAGTAAAACTATACCACGCTGTGTGGTTTACACCACACTTGTTGGCCCTGGGCAATTCCATCATTTCGCATCCGAGGTCAAGTTAAGTTTGAGTAAAAAAAACTCACGATGAGAATGGAGCCGATTAGAACCCGCGCAAACATGCAAGCAAGCAAGCAAACCAAACAGGTGCGCCAACCTCTCGATTACAGGCTTGCGGTGCATCATTATCACGTCTCCCAGGCAGCGCACACTTCCTCGGATGCTAAGTATGAGCGAATTACCCAGCGTCACGGCCACGTAATGCTGCCAGTCAGCTCAGTATTGTCAGCAGCGCGTCTGAATGTCCCTCACAAGATCGCCACCAGAGCAGAGCATTTCCGCCACGCGTCTACACGGGAGAATAATACACGACGGAACAAGTGAAGCGAGGAATCGTCCTCGAAGCACGCAGCGCAGCAAACGCCATTGAGAGGTACATCTGCATCAATGTCGACCACTCCCGCGAAAGACTCGAGGCAACAAGACAGCATTTAAGTCACATTCCGCGACGAAGGGTACAGCATCCCCACACAACCAGCCAACGACAGACGGAAAGACGCGTCAAAGATCACAGACTCCCAAGCGGGGCCGTCGCTGCACGGCTCCAGACGCGTCCGACTCGCCGCAGCCGGGCGCCGAAGTCATCCACTGCCATCTGTCGGGAACCGAGCCAACTACAGGTGGTCCGCCGCTGGGGGCGTAGTCAGACGTCTACAGGGTGTCGCCAGCAGCGGTGGTGGTAGGCGCGTGCGAGAGATCCTCAAAGGAGGAGCCCGAGGAGCCGCTGCCGGTTGGCGCAGGCTGCTCTCCGCTGCCCGATTGGGCAGCCGTGCCGCCTCCTGCCGGCAACGAGGGCGCGTGTCACCGAGCGCCCGGACGTGCGGGCCATCTGCGCTACCTCGGAACGCCGTCCCGAGCACAGCTGGCCGGTAGGGTGACGCGCGGCAGTTCTGACCTTCGAACTACTCGGCAATGCCGACATCGACCAGCCGCTGCCAACAGCAGCCTAAGCTACTGCATGTTTCACATCCGTGAATAATTACTGGCTCGGACGAATGTCACGGACACGAAGCTAAAGAAAACATGCGAAACTCGAACATGTCTTATCAGGGATCCCAGGCAGGAAGGCATGGCAAAGCTCACTACATATACGCGACCAAACAAAAATAGACGGCGTCAACGCAATCAATCCTCCGTCAAGGAGCCCCTGTGCCACTTTCCAGATACTTTCATGTCTCCGGGACACATTTGAAGTCTTCCAGGAATATCAGCGGCCGTACCGTCGGCCGAGAGGTCCTCATCGTCCTCGGTCAGCCGCTGGTCTGACTCGGCCGGTTCCTCGGTCGCCTCAGGCACCAGGAAATCCTCCTGCTGCGTCAGCGGTGCCACAAACCGGATCTCGTCCGCGTCGTACAGCTCAATCATGGGCCAGGCACAGAGGCTGGACCGCTGCCAGCAGAGCGAGACCGTCATCAAGCGCAAAGAGCAGGCCAATGTTGACGCGGCGTGGTGTTAGTAAACGTGACGACAGATCCAGCGCACGGAAAGAGGCGAGGAATTAGCGTCATCGAGCTTGAATATACAGACTCATTTGGACACCCAATACGAGTGATGCATCCAAGATCCCAAATACCCGTCAACCAGAAAGATCGAGCAACACGCCACTCCCACTCACCTTGATGTACTCCTTGAGGGCGGGGTACACCTTCCAGATGGCCAGGACGATCGATAGGGTGGCCTTGTAGGGGAAGGACGCCAGGACGGCGTGCTCGATGGCCGGGAAGGTGGCCACCTTGAAGCCGTAGCGCGCCACCCGCTGGCGCACGCCCTCCGGCTCCGGCTTGATGCCATCACTGAGGATGGCGCCCACCGCATACCGCAACTCGTATGCGTTCACCTGCCGGAGGTACAGCGAGACCCGCTGGAACGGCGCCCACGCAAGCACGCACAGACGGGAGCCAGCGCGCGCGGCAGCAGGGCGACGCACTGGCGTTTCGTGGACCAGCTGGCACGGATGGGAAGGACAGCTTTAACTGGCGACGCAGGGTGCTGCAAGAACATCAGCTGATACTTATACCAAACAGTGGTCTTCAGGAACTGCATAGCAAATGGCGACATATATTTCAATGTGTTTCTATCTATACTGAGTTTCCTTACCCTCTCTGGGTCATCATAGTAGAACCCAATGGTTTTCAGCTCAGGAGCAATGCTGTAGATTTCTGTGAAAAAGTGTCCACAGCCTTTGTAGGGGCCACGGTTGAATTTATAACAAATTGTCAACTCCCGGAAAGGGGGAGTACCTGATTTAACATCTACCTCACTGAATAGGCCCAGGTGCCCCAAGAAAACAAGAAGAGTAAGCAGAATCAGGACTGCCAGGACTATGCACACTAGGATCATAGTGCTGATTTCCATTTTCTATCACTTGCCAGGTCACCTCTTCTGGAACAGATAAGAGCATGTTATGCACCATCAAGTCAGCAATATGTTACCAAAGAGAAAAAATATCCACCAATGGAACAAAAAGGCAACTTTCTGAAAACAGCTTGACTTAAACAGCAAGGCACTCAGTAAGTTATCAGCTGACATCTGGGACTAGCTCAACCAAAAACAGACCTTTAAAATGACTTGGTGATAATTGATGTGCTGTGTGATATGTGTAGAATGTTTCTAGTGCAGTGCAATTGCACCTATACTCTGAAGAGGGCCAACCCAGGAAGGGTAAGAAATCATGGCCACTTATCCCAAGCTCCCTTACTCAAGAAATATGCAGTACTGGTGGAAAGCTGAATACTGGATGCCAGTGACTAGAACATTATTACAACTGCACCAGTGCCATTTATTCCAGCCAGGATCCCAACCAGGACTTGAAAGCCACACTACCAGTGGGCAGTCAATGTTGAGGGACCCATCCCTTCCTCTCTCACACTTTTGTTTTGCATCACAGATGGCTCTGAACATATTTGCCAAGCTCCCCCTCCCTACCTGACTGTGAAAATAAATGACACTAAACATGCATGACACATGTCTGACACTGAATGACACACATGTCTGACCTTGCATGACACATGTATGACATTGCATGGCAGATGTCTGAAATTGCATGACACATGTGTCTGACTTTTGAGCATTGTCACATCAATGCTCAAAAGTCTGATACATGGTGGCCATCAATGTCTGCACAAAGCTAGCATTTCAAGAAAGTGTGGCATTGTACAGGTTAATTTCAGGCAAGTAGCTTTAAAAATATGTTCCCTAAAAATCATTGCAAAATCAGACGCAATTTGTCTGGATGTGATTTCAGTGAATGTTAATTTTAGGCAAATACACTTTGAAATATTTTTACAGATATAATTAAAAGCTTAGCATAATTTGAGACAGCCTGAATTTGGCACACATAAGATTAAGGTTACAGACCTTGTGTAGGCATCCACACAGTGGATTTGTGTAAACTGAAACTCCTCCCACACATGGCCCCCACTGTCTTAATTAAAATGCCACCTGCCCCTTAATCAAGTCACCTTAGTTAATAATCCTATACAAGTTGAAAAAGCTGTAACTCCCCAGTCCTGGCACATCACACTGAAAACAATGCTTGCCCAGTGTATTATTGTTGTTTTGCTTGCACTTGCAGCTTTGATACAAAATGGAGGAAACTATTTTGGACCCATCCTGCTAATTCAGTAGACTGCTCAGAATAGCCCAAAACTTTGCAAACAGATGCAGTGTAATCTCCTGAGCACATTGAGCACAAAACCTCTGACCAGTATGCCTTATTATCTGATATATACCATTAAAAACATATAAATACAAAGGCTGACTTTTAACTCTTGAAAATTGGGTGTTGGTAGATAGTGGCCTCCTGACTACAGTCAACACAAATCTTGGGTGGTAGTGCAAGATGAAATTTGGTTTTGGCTGTTTGGGAAAGAACAAAAATTATAAATCACAACTTGTAATCAGAACAAACCATCACAGGTGGATTTACACTGCATCTTCAACTGGTACTTTGGGACATTGTTTAGCAGTGGTTAATAGTAAGTGCTTGAGTGTGTGCATCCTTCCTACATGTAGCCTCACATCTACTGTACCTTCTAAAGCTATGGAGGTCATCAAAAATGGTTTATACTGATAACCAGGCTCTAAAAGTCAGTCTCAACTAATGCTAATAGAAACCAATATTTAAGATTTTGTCTACCTGTCACATCATTCCCAGAGCACATCAACACACATCTCTGATTAAAAGGTCATGAAAGCCAGAATAATAGGAAAGGGAGCATCTCAGACATAGTAACTAGCTGAGCTACCTTCCAGCCAAGTCTCGGTTTGCACTGGTGTTGATATTACCTTGGCTGCAAGGTACCTTTCTGACTTAAGGGGCAGATGCCGGGGCAATGATACCCATCTAGGTTTCTACTGACCTAGACATATTTTCATTGAGAGCAGGGGTGTGGTTTTCTATTCATTCAGTTGGATGGGACTCCCGCTACTCCCCTCCAACCTTGGGAATAAATTTGGTCAAATCCAGTGCCAACACAGCTTACACCATTTACTTAGGTTCAACAATTGTCTCTGCTCAACAGTCCACAGTTATGTCCAAAAATGTACCACCTAGGACGTCAGACTACTGCGTGACAGGGAATCCGAGGTCAATGTGGCTATGGCGGAGGAATTATCTCCTCACAGATCAAGTAGCCCGACAAGTACGCCCCACGTGGTAAGCACTACCACATCTACTCACCGACGTTGAGTCTTTAAAAAAAAAATATTAGGGTACGACGCTGAGCTGATTCGATATGTCAGCCTTATCTGTATTAACGACTAACCCGAACCCCGATGTACCGCTCCCACGCTGCTCTCCTCAACACCACGCCGGAAAGCCACAGAAATGGCGCGCTGAGAGTGGCGGTCTTCAACGACGGGCCCTTGGACAGGCCCCTGTCAGTTGTAAATCAGTTTTGATATTGCTTTTCTACGATCTTTTCGGTGTTGTGAAAATAATTTTCATCGGCAAAACCCAGCATGGATGAAATTAAACTCATACAAAATGCAGATTAATATCTAAATACAACACTATAAGTTCTGTCCAACGGAAAACAAGAAACTGTACTTTAGCTTTACACTCGCATCATGACTTGTTGGCGGCGCTATCAAAATACAAAAAGTATGCTTTTAGTCAATGCAATCTTAGTACGCTTACATTCTGCATTTTGGCCGGGTTTTTTTTCTCTCCAATGCTAAATCCTACCCAAGATGGCATGATCTTCAGTGGCGGTAGGCTCAGAGTGGGAGATTGCCTGCAGCTAATTTTGGTGGTTTTGGGAGTTTTCGGTGACCTTCGACCTGGATCAAGGTGACCATGCAATGTAAAGGTTAGAATATCGATTACGGCATATCGGTTGGTGAAGGTTTGATGCTGAAAGGCGCTCTAGACTCGGAGCATGGGTTGTCTGCAAACTAATTGCAGATGGATTGGGCCGTTTTTGGTGACCTTCGACCTGACCCGAGACCACTGTATTAGGAGGGAGAAGATATCGACCATGGCGTATCGACTGGTGAGGGTTTCATACTGATCGGTGCCATGGGCTCGGAACATACGGTTGTCTGCAGTCACCTGGTGGTTTGGGGAGTTTTGGGCGACCTTCAACCTGATCCAGGGTCACCATATTCTGGAGGAAATACGATGCCATCTGTGGTACATCGGTTGGTGAGGGTTTGGTGCCGATCCGTCCCATAGACTCGGAGCGTGGGATTATCTGCAAACTAATTTCATGCGGTTTGGCCGATTTTGCTGACCTTCGACTTGACCCAAAGTCACCATGTTTCGGACATAATAGGGTGTCGACTATGGCACATTGATTGGTTAAGAAAAGGCAAGACACCGGAAGGTCACGATGTGGCGTTGTGCCAGGTTCTGCGCCGGCGAAGTGATGCAGGTCTCAAGGAAGACAGAGCAAATGTTTACTTTCGGACGGAAAGCGTGACTTGCTTGGGTCACGAAGTCAGTGGGAAAGGTGTGGAGACCACGGATGATAAGATCGCGGCCATAACGGGTGCTCCAGAGCCGCAAGATGTCTCCGAGCTTTAATGCTGGTTAGGACTAAGCAACTATTATGGCAAAATGCTGCACGTTGGCGGCCACGCTCCCACCGTTATGTTTTGCTCTGAAAAAAAAATCAGTCGTGGCAGTGGACGGCCGTGGAGCGCAGGGCCTTTCAGGGTGGAAAGAGTGTTCTGAAGAATACTTCCGTCCTGGCTCATTTTGATCCGAAGCTGTCAATGATTTTGGCTTGTGACGCTAGCGCAGTCGTGCTCGGCTGTGTTTTATGCTACCGGCCGCAGGGGAGCGGCCGGTAGCTTTTTACTCGCGTTCGCTGAATGAAACCAAGAAACGCAATTCTCAGACCGATAGAAAAGGCTTAGCAGTAATTGTAGGTGTTAAAAAGTTTCATTACTATCTGGCCGGCTGTCCGTTCTCGGTAGATGAAGTCGTTTCCGTTGATGGTTTCGCCTCGTGTGATTCCGTGGGCCTTGATCTGTTGATGATTATCATGTGCTTTGTGCCTGCTGATGCGATCCATCTGCACTGGCAGCATATCCGAATTTAGCGTGAGGTGGGAGACTTTTTGAAGGGCCCACCCCTAAATCGATGGGCCCCTATATTTCAGTGCTGGCGCACATCCGGAGCCTTGGCAAGGGAGTTGCACAGAATTGACAAAGGGCCTCTGATGCCCGGTCTTTGCTCTTTCAGTCTAAAATGAATAACCCCTGATTAATAACGACCCTTTTGAGTCTACTAGGGCCCTTTCCAGACTTGGAAGGCAGCTTTCTAAACTTACCGCGAGTCCATTCCTAACCGAAAACGACCCCTTTCTGAGTCTACAGTTAGTCTTTTCTTATTGGAGACGGGTCATCGCCAGGCCTAAACTTACATAGGCCCATTTCTTACCTGGAAATAGGGCTCTTTCCAGACCTGAGACGGGCCCGTCATAAGTTGAAGGCGAGAGGCAGACCGGGGGGGGGGGGGGGGGGCCGGGCCCACATAGCGTTGGCCTGGGGCTGTGTCAATAGATCTTTGCTTGCAAATGTCCATTAGTGGACCTCGTGCGCCGATTAAGGGCTCCTGGGGGCAATGAGGATTGAGGACCACAGATTTCAAACAGTCTGCTCCATGGTGGCCTGTGGCCCAATTCCAAAGCCGGGACTATCTTGGGGCCCGCGACTGCCGTCCAGAGGGCCTTTTGCATTGTTCGGTGTGCCTGAGGCAATAGGGACCACTGTGTTGGTTACGGGGGCTACAATACACCTAACCGAGGACTATGTTGGCAAGGGCCTCTAGTCAGTAATTGTTCCGTTTTTAATAGGGACGGGAACGTGACCCCGAATGTCGGGTAGCCTATTAAGTTGACCGGGTCCGCTGGTAATGAAAGGAGACAGGATAAATGACAAAGAAAGGGTTTAAATGCGACAGTGAAGGGGCCCAGCGTCGGACACGGGCCCAAGAACAAACGTGACCCCGGACCTCAACCCCATTTCGGTCAGGGGCTCGATAAACTGGAGTCATCTGCCGGTTACTGGACCCCCTGTGTCGGCAACCACTACCCTGGCGTCGATGAGGCGCCCTTCGGTCCAGTATCCATCGCTCCGGTCTGAGAGCCATTCGCGTCAGGGAGGGGACCGATGCACGATGCACCTCTCTGCGGTCCTCTTGATCGACCAGGGGTCCCGAACACCGTGTCTCCAGAATAGAAGCCGGCTGGCGGGTCGGAACGGAAACCCCTTCAACCCGTAACCGGGAAATGTAATGGGTCCCCTACTGTTCTACTTACGGGGCTCCCTGTCCGCAAGAGGCAGGGGGTCTCCTTAGTGTTCAACCCACTGGCCCCTCAACGAACGTATTTGCTGGCATAATGCTGACAAATGAAGGAGGCTGGGGCCCCTCGAAGTGGAATTTGTTAAATCTGGTGACTTTTTCGGGATGCCTTTTCACCGGGAGCCCTTTATCAAGCTGTGTGCCGCCCCCCCCCCCCCCCCCATCTTACCAAAACTTTGGCCTCTCCCCTGGCATAAATAGGGCTTGTGGAATCCGCGATAAGCTCTTCTCGGACCTAAGCGTTAACGGAAGTGAAACTGTAATAGGGATTTCCAGCTTTGAAATTGGCCCTTTCCGGACCTGAGATGTGCTCTCTACGCGTGCTTGGATGGCACACAATAAACGATTATCTCCCAAAATCCGCCTGGAGCCCCATTTGGGACACCTGAAATATTGGGAAAAAATAGTTCAGGCCCTTACCTCATACAAGGGGATAGTCTGCCCCGCGGCATTCACCGCCACTGGCTCTCTGGGCCCACGATGGGCTCACTGCAGTTTAAGGGAAGTATGTAGGCAAACGCTGTCATGTGCCTGAATCTCCCACAAACGTAACCAGATTAGGTGCGACGCAAGATATCCCGGTACGATCAGTATCATTCAAGTACTTCTCCTTTGTAGAAGAAGAAAAATCTCCACCCCGAGCGTTTTATGCGCAGTACGAAGCGGGCCTAACCAGCTCGCTATAGCAGAATTGCCCAACTTCGAAATCACACAACCCAACGACGTTTTTAGTACCCAAAATAATGAATAGGTAATTAGTATTATTTATTTCGTCGTTTCGACCATTGCTGCCCACAATGCTCGCATGATTGCCTATCATCTTCAAGAAAGTACCATCTGACAGTATAATAATTTCGGCAACAAACCAGTTATGTGATTTTTAACACGCAAACAGCAGACGATTTACAACATGTACTAAAAGGGCAACATAATCACCAAATCACGGACATACAAGCAGCGAAGAAAAACACCCCAGTTCTTCACATTCGTGCCCCAAATTCTCTGTTGTGCGCTTAACCTCTGTACATAACACAATTTTGATCATTTTCATCAAATATCTGATAACTTACGCCCAATCGCCAAATCGCAGACAAAAAGGCACCCACACTCTTACCCTATCATTGCACTTCTAACGGCCCCTAAATTTTCAAGTAGTGAAACTTAAATTGATGTTTCCAAACACACAACACAGGTTGAGAACCAACAGGGCGGTTGAACTAAAACGCTTTCAGCAATTTTAAAAAGAGGACCAAGCCCCGGGAGCCGAACACCGAAGCAAAGAATCGTTTTCGGTGCCGCACATATACGTCCATTTGCGCAGTGCATTCATACACGAGCTCGGATAATGCAATTCGCGTTTACTAGAACTAAGCACATCGTACTGACCATGTCACTTAGGCTACAACACTTAGTTTATTGAATATGACTATTCCGTTGCCGTCAGATTCTGTCATCATGTCGTGCGAAGGGACTGTAGTAGCACCCTCTTAAAGTAGTGCACCTCTAGTATAATTCCAATGAGCGAGACATGAAGTCTCTCTGACATTCAGAGACATACTCTACCGAGATAATATGCCAGCAGCAATCCTAAGGAAACGGACCAAGCCCTGCGAACCGGAAACCAAAGCAAGGCCAGCGTTTTCGACGCGGCACATATACGTCTATCAGCGCAGTACACATCATACACGAGCCCGGATAATGCGATTCACACATATTAGAAATAAACGCATCGTGCTGACAATGTCGGTTGAGCTGCAACACTTCGGTCCGATGGCTATGGCTCATGCATTGTCGTGAGATGCCGCCATCGTGTCGTGCGGACATACTGTAGTAGCACCCTCTTAAAGTAGTATACCTTCTGTATAATTCCGATTGGCGAGACCTGAAAGCCACTTTGACAACCAGAGACATGCTCTACCGAGATAATATGCCAATAGTAATCCAACGGATACGGACCAAGCCCCGGAAACTGAAGACTGAAGCAAAGCTAGCG